GATCGAATTAGGAAATTTATGCAAAAGCAATTTTTATATTGCGTATATTGAATTTTAAATTTTTTATGCTTTAATGATCGTGTTTGAGTGTCCTGATAAATTTGTGTGACCTGACAATATATCCAATAATTCAATAAGTTCTAAAACTCGTGAACTGGCGCGGTTCAGGTTACCCGATAAGTCCAGATTACCTGTTAATCTTTTCGAACAAATTGAATTACATCGAACGCTTTTATGAAGAAAACGAAGAAAAAAAGTAATATGAGACGTTACAACTTCGACGAGACGACGAGATACATAGATCGTTTTAAAGCAACTGTTTATTTGACATCGTCGCCAAGTCGGTTTGAACTTTGACGCGTTCAAAACACATTAAGGAAAAGTCAGTATTAGAACGGCTCGTCAAGTCGGACGGTGTCTTTTTAATAAATTGGACCCTTGAAATGCGATTAGGTGTAAACACCCTATTTTAAGGGAGGAAGAGCACAGGAGGGGTCGCCTCGTAACACGGCAGAAGCTCTCGTGAGTGACGGCAGATAGACAGCTAGATACTTCAGAGTTTCCCGGATGATGCTACGAGGGTGAACTTGGGGGTGACAGATGATTTAGCGCAGTATTCCTCGTGTCAATATACCAACAACCGTGTGGAGGGAGTTGCTCGCTCGAAGTGTGTCGTACCAATGTCCTCGTTTTTTCTCCGTCCTAGATATGTATAATCTGAGATAATCAGATATATAAAAGCGATGCAAAAATTAAATGCAATAATTGAATCAAAATTGAGTTGATATCTTTTTATGCAGCACGTTGTAACAAAATGATGCGTGTATAAATACTCTTAAGAATGACAGATAAGACAAAACCTTTCAGATGTGTGCACATTATAAGTATATATTTGAAGAATTATTTGAATTCACTTTTAATCGTTATATATACTGTCTCTTTCTTTATATACATATATATATATATATATAATTTTTTAAGTTTTATCGTAAATGTGTTTCCATCTGTTATGTATGAATTTTATGTATATTTCTTTTTTTGATATTATATAAAATCAAACTTTATGTGTAAAATTACAAAAAATAGAAGAAGAATCGAGTCTGAAAAAATTAATATAACAAAGCTAATAAATATTGTAATATTTTTAAGATTTAAAATTTTCTTTTCTTTTTTTTCAATCTTTATAATATATTATTCGAAACTTATATGATATTAATAATATGAATTAGGAAGTGATCAAAAGTATTATAACGTAAAGATTATAGGCGCGGCATTATACGGGGCTGACAAGATACTAATATTCAATTCTTATCGCGTCGTATGAAACCTTATGCGCGCCAAATCCAGAACGAAAAATCGACCGACCGACGGATGGACGATCGGTGTCGAATTTGATGAATCTAGTTTGTTAAACCGCAAGCCGGATTCGCCGGCGCGGGGGTGGCTCGCGTGAAGTGTGATGAGGGTAAGAAAAATGACCGGACGAGAAAAAGAGATCCTTTACCGGCGGAATTCGAATGTCAATCCATATCCCCTTTTTCCTCTGATCCCTTTATCCTCGGGGACTTGGTCATAGGCGGGAGAATGAGCGTAGGAAACGGAAAAGAAAAGTGGCGTCTGATCTCAGGGAGAATGTAACGCGCGCGAAGAGTACCAAGATCGTGTGAAGGATGAAGAGTCAAGAGCAGATATATATATCGGAAAACCAGGCAGATGTCATCGATATTGGCTTTACGTTCCTTCATTCAATTTGATTCGACTTTATTAAGAATTCCTGAAATTAAATAAGTAAGATATAATTTCACACACATATATATAAGATAATTAATTTGAACTTTAATAAGATTAATTTATTAGAAATAAAAAAATTAAAATAAATAATTAATATTAATCTTATTAAAGTTCAAATTAATTATCTTTTAATTCGCTAACAAACTTTGTTCAATATTTTGAGTTTAATTCTCATGCGCTAAAATAAATCGAAATCTCTAACGAACAATAAGATATATTATCATCGCCAAAACAAGTATTTCGCAAAACTTATTTTAAGCTGAAGTGATCTTGAATCAGATCTAAATGGAGATTCTCGAAGTTCGCTGAGCGCGTTTAATCCGCTCTGATGTCGAAACACAACGTCGGGCAGTGTAATTGATATCGTTGGATTGTGTGGACGAGCTCGCTTTCGATCTTCGGAGGATACGAAGGAAACCGCTCACGGGTTCGATGCATTCGCGTTAATCTCGATAACCCGATCCGTCGGATGTCTTTCTTTTTTGCTTGTTGTCTGTCGGGGATTGTTTGAGACTCGATTTCCGCCGAAATAGCGCGTACGCTTCGATTCGATCCCGTCAGTATATATATTTCTGTGTATTTCTTTCCCTTTTTCGCCACGATAAAAATTTATTGCGGACGAATCCTTCAATTAATTTCCGTTTCTTCATGTGAGACGTCTAGAAAATATAGTAGTCTTGTATTAATATGTATCAAAAATCTATACTTTATGTAAAAAGTGAATAAATTCTACAGTAATAATAGCTAACTAGATTTTTTCTTAAAGATCCTATTAGTGATCTTAATATAAATCTCGCATATTTGTTAAGGGTATAGGCCTAAATATTTTAAGTGTAATTTATAATTGTTATATTTTATATGCATCCCTCTCTCTCTCTCTCTCTCTTTCTTTCTCTCTCTTGTATTTATGATAGATTATTTTTATCTCGTATTTTTAAAGATACGCATCAAAAATATGATAATTCCGAAGAGGTGAGGGCGATAGAACACCGATCCACGAGCACTTTTTACCATACACACACACACACACATACACATTCTTGGCTGTCTCATGGGCGATGCAGGCCGCTCGCGGAATTCTTTGAAAAACTACTTTGTAAAATTGGGGACGCGCAGTACGAGAAGGGAGGCGGCCGAATGAATAATAAATACGGTTATCGTTTAGTTGATATTTTGAAGAGGGGGCGCGGACGCGGAAATCCCCCTCCTCGTCGAAGGATCGGAGCGAGAAAGAGATCAAAGCGGATCGCGGAGATGAAGGTCAGGGGAGAGATTCTCTCTCTCTCTCTCTCGCTCCGTTTCTATTCTCCAATTGCTCGAGATAGCCCAACCGCGAATCACATCGCATCGATAGCACAACAAAACGCGATCAATCAATTGTCATTGAATTTATCCCGAGCTTCGATTAAAGCTTCGAGCATATAATCGCATCGAAGGCGCGTATCGCGAAAAATAATGTATGATTCGCGAAAAAGAAATGATAAGACGGAGAACAATTAAAGAATTTCGACGATATTTAAAATAGCAAATTGCATTGAACCGAATCATTAAAGATGCGTGAAATTAATCGAACAAAGTGATGTATAAAGAACTGCAAAACGCATTCATTGATTTTACTTCAGTATTAATTGTCTTCGACTTATTCAACTCTTTTATTTTAGTAAATCACTGATAATTAAAAATTGCGATTATAAAAATAGAATAGAGCAGTCAGAAAAATATTTTCCTCTTTCGATCTCGGATAAAGATATTAAAAAAAAATTTCTGACAAATACAGCGTTTTTCAAACTCCAAAGTATTTCTCTATAAAATTATCGATTGACGGGCCTCCGGGGCCTCACGGCGAGCACGCGCCAGGCCTTGGGTAACTGTGCGCGGATAGAGTTTCGCTCTCTCCGGTGTAGCGTGACGATGGCCGGGCGATGGAGCGGCTAATAACGATAACGACGCCAGAAACGATAATAGAGTTGGGGGTTTCCGCGGTTTCCACGGCTCTCCCAGGACGCTGATTGCTGAAACGGCGGTCGGTTTCGCCGTCGGGATGCTCAGCGCGACGGCGATGCCGTTTCACCCCCGACAATCGTTACCGCGCACCGAAACGCAACCCTTATGCATTAATTTAAATACACGATGTACTCCATTCTGATTAGATCAATTTCAAGTCAATTTTTACTTTATATACAGAATTTTACTTATACGGAAATAAAACATCTTCTCTTTCTTCCGCCTCTTCTGTAACTCCTAACTGAAGCGATGCAGATTTACAAAAAGAACCCGGACAATACTTTTTATTTTTTTATATAATGTTACAGATTTAACAATCTTTGGTATAATCGTTTTAAATTTATATTCGAAAAGAATTATAGTTATAAGTAATGAAAATATTACGAGAAAAATAGAGAAATAATTAAAAATAATCATCAAAAATGTAAATATTTTATTCGTATATTAAAGATGTTAATAGAGACGCGTCGCATCGTCTAGGATGTCGAGACGGTTAAAAACAACGCTGCCGTCGCCGTCACCTCGACGTGGTATGCGTGCGTGCGCTGGCGCAGATGGAAGCGTAACGAGTACACAATGCGATGCAAATTGGTTAGACTCAGTATGCCGCGCCGGGCCAGTCAATCGCCCGGCCGATTGCCTCCAGTCGCGGGCGGCAGTACCGCGCGATGGTATTACTAACATCACTATCCTATTATGACGTTACGGCTCCCCGAGCAGCAGCAGCAGCAGCAGCCTATTACGTACGATGCCGACTCCCTCCAGGCGTTCGATTCGCGATAACTCGCTAACTATAGCGGTCATCGAGACTCACCGGAGAGAGAGACAATACCGCTGGAATGCCCGCCCACGGCTGACTTCCCGATTGATTCTCTCGCCTCGATTGGCGAATCGCGAGATAGCCACTGTATAATTGCATTTGTAAGATTTAACATCTCTGTAAATACTGATAATATTTAAATTATTTGATTGTAGTTATATACACTATTTTGAAAGAAATACAAAAGATAAATGCTCGGTATCGGTAAGTACTGGCATTTATCTTTGAGATTTTTTAAATCAAAGTTTTTATATAAAAACTTGAAGGCTGCCAGATATTAGCAGATGATCAAATGATATTCGATATTTGAGAAACGATAGAGGAATGATTTAAAACAAGCGTTCTATACATCTATAAAATATGTGATACATAATTCGATATATCGTAAGTTTGAAAATAAATTTATTGATAACCAACTCTACCATACTCCTCTCGGAGTAAGTACAAGATAATCTTCGCGCGTTTAGTTATCACATACTTGAGGTATTTTCAGAAGTGGATAATATATATGTAACTTTTATCTAAATAACTTTTCTTTGAAAGAATACGCACCAACATATTACGAGAATACACTTAAACAATTATAGAAATCTTGTACAAAAAAAATGCATATATATATATATTATATGTTAGAAAAAATATAATGAATATATAAATAATATATATAAGCTTAGCGCACATATATTTTAGACGATTCACTCGGCGAAATGGTATCTCCTTTTAGTCGGTGGCCTATCATGTTCATTGAAATCATCCCAATTGTATCTCTTTTTATTTGACCTATCTGTAGATGAACCACTAGTTGGATCCCGAAACTGATTAGGACGCCTTTCTTCTTCATCGGATTCGTCCTCGCTCTTAATTTGCACCAGAGAACTCATAGGTTCGTTGAAGTCGGAAATTTTCACTGCACTCATTCCACTGTAAGAAAGAATCAGAGTTCATTATTTTCAACAATCTAATATCTTACCATAAAATAGTGTATTTTTATAGAACGTACTTTTGTTTGCGATAAAGCTCGTGGAATTGCTTGTGATTATTCAGATCAGCCAGCTTCTGTAGGAACTTTTCATCATGGCTGATAATAATCAGCTGGAAATTTTTTTGATATCTCGATCGTAGTTCAACAACTCTGCAATATATATTTTTCGCGTCACATTACGTCATATATAACTTATAATTTTATTTACATGATTGTTTAAAATTGCAATATTATGACTCGCATAAAAAAATATGTACTTAGTTAGCGTATCTGCTAGACTGTTAGCATTTTCTTCATCCAGATTTGTCGTTGGTTCGTCTAATGCGAGAATACCGCAATCCTTGCAGAATGTTTCTGCCAAAGCGAGTCTTATAATTATGGATGCCAATACCTGTAAAAAGAATTGTATATCTCAAATAGATATAGCGCGTTTTACGATTACGCGTGAATTATTTGCCAACACTATTAATACTAATTACTTTCTGTCCAGCGCTACAACGTCCTTTCATATCCATCTTACAGCCATGCTTAGTTTGAATTAGTTTGTAATTGTAGCTTCTTCTATTGCTAACCGCATTTACTTCCGTAGGTTCTGTACAAATCTCTATGCTACTAGTATCTGTACCCTTGTAAACATGTTTCCATAGCTTCTTCATTATCTTATTGACTGTCGACATGCGTTCCTCGTGGTACTCGATCATGGCGGTATCCAATATTTTACTGTAAGCTTTCAAATTGGCTATGGAGTCTTCCTGAACCTAATAAATAAATATAAAAGCCAAATAATACTCTATTGCAATATAAATGTGTACTAATTTGATAATATCTATAATACTTCACTGTTAATTCAATACTCTTGTTAGTATAATTTCGACGAGCTAATCGATATTCCTCTTTTCGCAATTCCTGCATGTACTGTTGAATTACTCTTTCCAACTCCTCCTGATTTCCCAGTGCTACGTTTCTCTAAACAAATTATTAAATAAAATGTATACAATGAAATTAATTGTAAGTAAATATATATGTATAAATCATATGGACAAGTTACGATATAACTATATTTACTTGACGAAATAATGCCTGTTTTTCGTTTTCTAACTGGTCCCATTTCTTCGTCAGCTCATTGTAATTCATATTTTTCAGTTTTTCGTTCAATTTCTGATATTGTTCCTTCAAAGCCTCTATCATATCCTTAGTTTTGCGTAACATTATATTATCATGTAACTCTCTCTTTCCAATTTCTTCAGAAGCAACGTCCTCCTTCAACTTATTTATCGCTTGCTCAATGTCCTTTTTCTTGTTCATAAGTTCCATTAGTGACTGTTGATAAGTCTCTATCTCACTCTCATAGCTCGCGAGTTTCCTAGGTACGTCGCTGCTAATAAATGAATCGACTTCGTCTATTATCTTATGCAAGTCGGATAAACGTTTAACACTTTCCATCATCAATTTTCTATCAGCTTCTTGCTTTTGCCAGTTTTTTAGCTGCAAAAGAATGTCTCAGAACCTTTTTGCCTTCACTTTATGTAGCACTCTTCTTACATCCCCATTAATTATAATTATTTAATTATAAATTACAAACCTTCATCTTTTCCAACTGCTGAGCTCCAGAATCCAGTTGATTTTCAGCATTTGCCAAATCTTCTCGCAGTTTCTCCACTTTCTCCCCCACAGTAACTTCTCTTGTATACAAATCCTCCTGCTTATCTTTTAAATGTTTCAATTTCTGCATATCCGAATGTATTTTTAATTGTTCCTCGTGTAACTTGTTATATGTCTCTCTAGCCTCATGCAGTCTTTCGTTATGCTTATTCAATCTGAGTTGCAATGCTTCAATATGATTACGAGTTTCCCTAAAAGATGTTTTCAAGGATTCTCGCTGCACCTGCAGCTCTTCTATAGTTTTTTTGGTTTTAACTCCTATGAAAATATATAATGTATCACATATTAAAAAGGGAAAAGAAAAACTCTAATTAATAATCATAAATTATTGTGATTGTCAATCATTTTACCAGCATTGGCCATTTGAGTTTCCAAGTTACCAACAGTTTTCTTTAATTGCTGTATTTCATCTATGCATCGATCCCAAAATTTGATATCACCGATCATATCTTTATATAGTGATAACTTCTTTTCAGGTTCTGCCTTTGACACTTCTAGATCTTTAATAGCTGTTTTGGACAACTTTACACTATTCTTGGTTTTCTCTAATCTCTCTCTAATTAAAAGAAAAAATTAAAATTATTAATATTAAATGTATTAAAAGTTTAATACATTCATATAATAGTATAGAGTAAAAGCAACAAGTCTTAAGTCCTAAATAATATCAATAGTAATAGTAGTATAATATACACACAATAAAATTCACTCACTCTAATTTTTTCAAATCGTTCTCTTCACATTGAATGACTTTTTCAACAATAGGTTTCAATTGCAACATATTATCGTATTTTTCTTGTTGTATTTTTAATTCCTCTTCACACATTTTTAAACGATGAGGTTGATTACTAATTATATCGTTTTCCATTTCTTTTATTAAATCTGCAACTTTATCTTGTTTCTGAAAATTTCTGTGACACAAGGGGCAGCAAGGATCTTTTATAGATAACTTTTTAATATATTCTTTGTAGGCTGTGGCTTGATAAGCATAAATTCCTCGCTTGTCCTGAAGATCCTTTACTATTTTTGATTGCATTAACAAAGTCTCATCAAACTCTTTGTAATCACACACTGTAGATATTTTCTCTTTATCACCTAGAAAAATAAAAAGACACAAAATAAAAAAAAATAAAAACTATGTAAAATAATATTTTAAAGATTATATATAGAACTTTAGAAAAAATAAAACATTCTTACGATGTAGCTCTAGCCTCTTTTTCCCAATGTCTGACTCTATGTATTGTAATGTTGTTTGAAAAGCGGTAGTTTTACGTTCTTGTGTTTGAATCTCTCGTGTCAAAGAACTTGTTTCATTTTCCTGAAGTTCATAATTAATGAAATTTTACAAGCATGTGAATATACATAAATGAAAAATTAATCACATACCAATTGCTGGTGAACATGTTCCAAAGTAGTTTTCAATTTCGTCTGTTGTAATTCATGAATATTTAACAATGTTTTGATGCTATCTTCATGTTTTCTCCTTAAATTTTCCAATTCTTCTTCTTTAGCTTGCAATACCGACCTTTTCAAATCGAATTCTGTTTTTAACGAGCTTAATTTATGTAAAGAAGATATCTCGTCATCAATCGCACTTAAACTTGCTTCAATCTTATCTCTAGATTTTACTTTATTTTCGATATCAACTTTAATAGTATCAACATCTAATGCATTGTTAAGTTCATCAGTTTTTTGTTTTGCCGCTTGAAGTTTTTGTTCGATTGACTTTAATTTATTTCCTGCTGCACCAATCTACATTAGAAAAATTAAAATAATTGCTTTATTATAAACTGGATATTTCTATCATAAAAATATAATCCTTAATGAAAATACATTAACCTGCGCTATCTGGTTTCGAATGGTGGCAATTTCATCTCTTATCTCTGTTATTTCCTTCTCTTTGAGAATCTTTTCTGATTCTATCTTTGAATAATTGCTACGCAGCAAATCAACTTCCTTTTGCGATTCTCTTTCCTTTTTTTGCATGGCTAGTCTATTTTCTTCTACTTCTCGTTCCAACGCCCGCATTTTTTGTTCCAATCTTTTTGTAAGAGCCTTTACCTCTGTATATAGAATTTTTGCGTCATTTTAGCAATAAAAAAATATTTAATATTGAAAAAAATTGTATGAAACTGGTTACTCCTAAAGTTTTTTCTTTTTATACCTATTTCAGTTACATCTTCTTGCACTGTATCAAAATCCCATGCTTGTAATGCGTCATTTAATAATTGATTACGGCGAATTATTCTTTTCTCCTGATCTTTTACTTGCTGTTTAAATGTACCTACAGTTTCCCTTCGTATTGCTAAGATTTTCGAGATCCTAGCCTCTTTCTCAGAAATTCCTTTGATTTCATTCTCATTCTAAAACCAGCAAATCAATATGTAATGCATAGATGAGCTAATGTAATTATTATATATAATATTTATATTTATACCTCTGCTATTTCATTATTTTTTTCTTTTAATATAGTATCATATGATTCTATGCGCGCATTTAATTCCTCTGTTGTTCCTTCAAAGATATTCTTTATTGTTTCTTTCAATTTTTGGTATCGTTCCTTATTCACATCATATTCCATTTTCTTTTTCTCTAAAAATAGTAATAATTTCTTCTTTATCTATTTAATACTTTTGTGAAATCTTACTCGGTTTACCTTCTTCAGCCTGAATATTTTTGTATTCGGAATGAGATTGTTGCACCTCTTCGATCTTCTGTTTTAAAGGTGTAAGCTGTTTATCGATATCATTAATTTTTTCCTTTGTGGTATTCAATCTCTTCTTATGTTCCTCGAGTTTAGTCTCTTTATCTTCTACTGCAGACACAAGTACTTTGAAAGTCTTTTTCTCTGCATTTAGAGTACGAATATCCCCTTGTAACTCTTTATAAAGTTTGGAGATAGTGTCTAAAGCTTTATTGAATTTAGTACTATCAAATATTTCATCGAATCTGTCTTTTAAATCTTTTCCTTGGTCAAATGGCCAATTAAATTCATCTTGATGACAAAATATGACATAATTTAGAATCGACTTTGAAACACCTAATGCTACACTAAGTTCTGCATCAACATCAGCGCATCGATTGGTTATTGATGCTTTCTATACCAGAAAATCAAAATAATCAGAATAAACAATTGAATAAATTAAACAATTAAGAGATACAAAAAAAAAAGAAAGAAAGAAAATATTATACACACTCACATCCCTTTTATCCTTGCTTACTCTGGTTACAGTACTGTCAAGAGTCTTAAATTTTTTTACTGCTTTCAATGACTCAATTGTTCTTGATACTGTATAAGTATTACCCATGGAATCAATTATCTCAGCTTTGACAACACCTCTTACCTGTAACAACAAATATAGTACATAAAAAGCAAAAATTATTATTAACAATATTCATTTTTATCTTGTTGTATACGTTAAAGTTTTTAAAAATTAAAATAAAAAAAAAAAACTTGTGACAATTATAAAAACATAAATATTGAAAAGGTGGAAGGGTAATAGATCAGGCAATTATAAATAACATATATGTGCCTGCATGTTGTAAACTCTTTGCAAAATCAGTCTTTTTATAAATATATACCCATCCTATAATTTGGCCCTTTAAAAAGACTGATATTTTGCAGATATTGATTATACTATAGAATTATAATGATTTTGATTTTACTTACATGATATAAAAAAAGAAATTATTAATATACGCACAATATAAAATTATAATAAATTAATATAAATTATTGCTGTCATACCGAGCCGGTTGTTGCCAGCATGGGATCATGTATGAAAGATCTTCCTTTATCAGAGCCCGGTGGAAATACACCGGTCGTGGCATATTTCAATGCTTCAATTATCGTCGTTTTCCCCGTGCCATTCGGTCCCAAAATGAGCGTTAACGGACAGGAAAAACGTATTAACGAGTCCTCGTTGTCATCACCGAAATTACGAATGCCGCGAATCGATAGCCGGCGTATTTTCGACATCTTGCCTCATATAATCAAATCATTAATTTATAACGTACAAATACGCAAGTACGTTCTTATCGACGATGCTATCAATGTTATCTTAATTCAACGTGATTCAACGAGTTTCTTTGTCGAATAAATTACGATATATATACTAATTACTCGTTTATACGATTATAAATAATCGGTGTTCCCTTTATATTTCTTGAGAGATAATAAACGATGTAATAATATTTATTTATGTGTGTGTGTGTGTGTGGAAGAAGAATACTACTTTCACAGACTTTTGAAGAGATATTCGATGATGTCATAAACTGGATAAACGCGCCAAACACCCAACAGTCACAAATCACAAATACTGCGTACAGCTGCGTTCGGAAACATCACCCGTGTGCACACGAGCGTCGTTCTATCTTTGTATTTACTAAAAGTTGAACAAAGATAGAAGGATGCTCGGGTGCTGTTTCTGAACGTACCGTAGAAGAGGAAAAGTTAGGTGTGTTCTATATTTCTTTTGACTGATTTTGGCGGGAGTGCGTTCGGAAATCCTACCCTATTCTAGGGAAGTACGGGCAAAACGAACAAACTTACGATTAGCTAATCACAATAGAGGATTACGTCACTTCCAACCCGGCTTTCTCGGCATATTCAGTTCGATTCAATGTATCGTTCTACTGTCCGTGATTATCCGATCCAAGTCTCGTGGTCCGATCAAAAGCACAAGGTTCAAATTGTCTTAAGAAAATGATAGACTTTCGCAATAATTCTGGAAACGTCGATGCCGATAATGGAAGATATAACAACACTAATATACCTGGTAAAAATAAAGATATTTGTACTACATGAATATTTGTTTGAAGTTGCTCTAAACCATTTTTTTCTTAGATTACAATTGCGGTTTCTTTTAATTATTTGTAAATAACGGAGTTTCTTTGAATATTATCGATTAATAAAACCGGATATCGCCGGTTACATATTTCTTAAAATTATGTTGTCACAAATAATTATTTGCTTATTCGACTTAAACTCATGTCAAATCATATTCCTAACCTGACTTATTGCATTAGTCGGTCAAACATAATTATAGTCTTTTTTTTAAATATAGATGTGGTAAATATAAATATGTGTGATTTATAAGTTGAGAGATATAGAGATTACATCTATTTAAGTTGATAAAAAATCAAACTCTGATTACTTGAGTTGAGAAACAAAAATAACTCTTATATAAAAGGCATGTTTGAGTCAACTAAATAATGATTGTAATGAATTGAAGTGAATTATAAGCATACAATAAGTAAATTTATTTAATATATGGCTTATATACTATAAAATAATTTAACTTTATTTTTCAGTCACTTCACAACCAAGTTTAGCTCCACTTAGTCCATTTTTGAATTTTGATCCGTCGTATCTTCCCGTTAGTCAACCAGAATTCATATTTCCCGATGGTGCTTTAAAGCAGAGAGGCCGCTTTGAGTTAGCTTTTAGTCAGATTGGAGCTGCTTGTATAACGGGTGCTGGGATTGGTGGAACATCGGGTTTATACAGAGGCATCAAAGCAACCTCTATCGCTGGTGAAACTGGCAAGCTTAGAAGAACACAGTATGTATTTGTGTGTTATTAATGTTTTTAACTTTTAATATTTGAAAAAGCATATTTCATCATGTCTTTTCAGATTGATTAATTATGTTATGAAAGGTGGTGCTAGTATGGCAAACTCGCTTGGTGTAATAACAATAATGTACACTTGTGCTGGAATAGGCTTAACTTGGCTCAGAGGAACCGACGATAGTTTTAATACAGTTGCCGCAGCTGCTACAAGTGCCATGGTGTTTAGATCTCCTGGTACGAAGCATGATCTATATGTTATATTTGTTATAAATTATATTTATTATAACAAAATGATAATATTAAATTTTAGCCGGAATCAGAAAAGCCGGTATTGCAGGCGCTATTGCGGCGGGAGTTGCAGTAATGTATTGTGCATGGAATAACGGAGGCTTGTCGTTACAGCGTATGAATGGATGGAAACATCCAGCGTAAGAGTGCATATAGTTTAGTGAGTGTGTGTGTATATGTTTTAGTAAAAAATTTAGACAAATTATATGCTTGCCAAATATTTTTACCGCACATTTCATTTTTGTTACCATTGCAATAGTTTGTAAATTCAACAAGTTAATGTGAGCGCGCTATAATCATATATAAATTACTTTAATTAGAGAGAAAAGTAAATTAAAGTATGTGTAATAAGCAAAAATATAATTATATATTTAAAGAAATAATGATATATATACACATATCAGAAATATGTGTGTATGTATATTACTCAGCAAATGTTACAATTTAGATCAAAATTGTACAAAATAAAGTGTAGTTTACAAAATGTTTTTTTATTAAATTTAAATAATTTGTGCACTGTAAAATTATAATTTTGTAAAGAATTTTCATTCAATAAGAGTTTTATTTATTGGTATTAGTGCCACTATATATATTAAATTTTAGGGTTTTATATATGTATAATCCCTAAATTATAATTTATCCTTATTGCATACTTCAAAGTCCAATATTTAAAATAAAGTAGTAGGTGGGTAATATGCGGTAAATGCGGTAATATACGCATACATACATACATGTAAACATATATATATATATATATGTATATGAGAACATGTATATATACATATATACATACATATACGAACACACACTCTCTGTTGGTCATTAAAATATAATTATTTATATATGTTATATATTTGATACAGTATAAAATTATTTTTATTCTATGGATATCTTAAACAAGTAAATACAATCTTATAATTGAATTGCAAAAATAAATACTTATTAAAGTTAACAAGGATTCATATATGGGACTATAAATTAAACTGATTAAGTTAAAACATATTGCTATCAATTTGTGTGTAAATTGCATACAGTTTATTGCATATCTAATGTTCCTTGTACATAATTTCTTTAATATTGCAATTTAAAGTATGTAATAAGAATAAATTTTGTTTCATATATATGCAATAAGATGATATAACTGTAAAATACAAAAATTTAATTTTGTTATATTGTGATCGAAATCTATGCTAGAATTATTATATATAGTAAAGGAATAAAGAAATACCGTTATTTCGTAAAAATTTATATAACGAAACATATAGGATTATATAATAAAATTTGGAGTATTTTAAAAATTTTATTTACTTGTAAAAATTTAAAGTTCTTTTTTTTCTATATGTCTGATTTGGTTAATATGGCACTTTCGCAAATAAATTTTCATAGTAATTAACTGAATTTTTTTCTTTTGCAAATTATTTATATTGAACTATGAACCACATATAGCTAATTAAATAAATATACAAAATTATGAAATAGTATATGATAAAATAAATTACGAGATTAAATTTAATATTCTGAATATTCTAATGTAATTCTTTGTTTCTGTTTTTGCAGATTGATGTAACAAATTGACATCTATACTATGAAAAAATTTTCAATACGTTCTCATATTCTCATATTACCTTGTATATAGAAAATCTCACACCAAATGATGCAAATAAATTATGAAAAATATGTTAGGATAAAAAAATAAATTATCGAAACTACCAATGTATGTATACTTTCAAATAAACATACTGACATTACACATTGTATATTTGCAATTTAATATATTTGTCTTCTAGTAACATATTCGTTTAATTTAACATTCTATTTTATTTGATGACATATTTATCAAGTAACAAGAAAAATCTTATTTGTAAACGTAAATGTAAATATATTGTGTAATCCCAGATATAATACACTTTATTTCAATAATACACAATTGGGATTTTCTTTATGTGCACAACGATTGCCAGAAAGAGACGCTTAATCTTATCAAAGTTTATCTCACTATCACTTCACATACGTTACGGGAATGAATAGATTCTCCACCGATCAGAACGTTTTTGTACGTGTATGTTTTATCCAGTGCGTTTTATCCAGTAATTGAGTATGCGATCTGTGTAAAAAAATCTATTCGCCGATAAAACACAATTCGAGAAAACTATTCGTGTGCGCGATACTTACATTGACTTCATTGTGCGAGAAATAAAACGTGTTGCATCATATCTCGACAACTGGGAAAAATATGTGATGTAAGTTTAATAAATAATTGCTGAATTTAACAGATTTTGTGAAATATATATGTGACCGATATAATATATTTGGACGGCTGAATTTTGTATGCGGTTAAAAAAATTAATGCAATTGCAATAATTTTCTTAGTGTTTATTTTTCTCATCTCACTTGTAGATTCTTGTTTAAATATCTATTTCTAAAATTCGAAATTATAAAATTTTATTTACTCGTTTAAGATATTTAAATAATTTTTATAGAATATGTTTATTAGTAGATGACAAAAATTGCTATTTTTGTCTTATCCATATCTTAAACGAGTATATATATAAGTACAATATAATTCTGAATTCTAGAAATAGATATTTATTTAAAACAACAAAGTTTACATGCAAGATGAGAGATAAATACTAAGAAAATTATTGCAACTGCATTAATTTTCAAAATTTTCTAAATAATGATATTTATAAAGAATAAATCAAGGCGCATGCATTATGCATTATCTGGAAAATCCGAACACTTATATGTCATTGACTAAATTGGAATTGATAAATGTATTCGGCGACAACATTGTCGATAGATAAGAATGTTAAACAACCAGAATTTTTTTTTATTTAAATAGTTAATGCATTGTAAAAATTACAATTTTGTAAATAATTTTTATTAATTAAGGGTTTTATTTATTGATGTTAGTGTCAATATATATGCCACGAGCATGTATGAGACCGAGATGCTCACGAGCATTAAGTTAATATTTGATCTGCGGGAATCTACGATCGTTGTCGTAGGCTGCAAAGAATATTTACGAAAGTGTATGGTTTATTTAAACAAGGCACACATGTGCACGTAATTTTTGCGTACATATCGCGATATTGCACGAAGCGCAAAAGGCCAGCGAAAGTCACGGAAGTAGTTGCTTCGGATCTTCCAACGATAGCGGACGTGATATTACATGAGAGATGGTGTTAAAATTGAAAAATGCAGTTAAGTCTTATATTATTAACGATAGGCTAGTCTTCTCTATATTTAACAAGATTTCCTATATATCTTACGGTTATCTCTGGACAGTTATCTGTTTATCATCACCGTGCATAGCAGTGCTTTGAAAAAGCGGATAAAGTTGGAAAAAAATTTTATTTGTATTATGAGAATAAAAGATAGGGAATAGAGAAGAGAACCGATGAAAATTTTTTAAAACATTTCTATTTGTCTTTTAATCTTTCTCACGAATTTAATTAAAAAATTGAAAATATCTTTATTCGTTTGCAAGAGGATCATAAAGAAATAAAAAAAAAATACTATTCTTCGTTTTATAATATATTTTTTTCTTGTCTCAGAAAAAAATTCAGATGAAAATTCTATTGTTTTTTATTTCTATTTATAAAATCGTGAAAAGAATTACAAAAAAAAATTCAATTTTTTTTCCCCGTGAGAAGAAGAAGAATAAACTATTATTTTATCATCTTTTTCTCTTTCGTCAATTCTCTAAAAACCATTACGCACGCTATTTTCGAATTGCACATATATTGCATATTATTTGCATTCGTATTCCTCTCCGTCGTCTAAATGTCAATATATTAACTGCTTCCCATAAAAAAGCAGATAGTGATAATTAATTTTAATTAGCACGTCTGAGTTTCTCTCTAACTCTGGCTAATACTGGCTAGATAAAGAACGACAAGAGTTTTATTATCCCCGGTTGGCGCTAATCAACATGAGTGCAGTCGTCCTTTCATTGTCAGTCAGTCAGTCAGCCATCTTCAATTCTTGCACAGGTGTATATGCAAATTATTCGGATTGTATCGTAAGATATAAGTGTTCTTATATCTTCTACACGTCGCGTTCCAGTTATTTATTTACATAGCTTGAGTCTGATTAATGACCCGACGAAGTACACTTCCCAAGAGCTTTCGTCATTTGGTTATCATAACAATTATTTCTATCGAGAATTAGGGCACGACGTACGCGAGCTTTCGCTAAGAGATCTTTTTACTCTTGATTTTATAATTTCGCTGAAATCTTTGCGGCGCAGTTCTGTAAATCGTGTTTCCCTTTTAAAATATCTCTTTACTGAAACGCACACGAAAGATAAATTTAAGGTAATTTAGTTTTTAACACATACACGCAAACAGTTTTTTTAATTTTGTATGAGTTTTAACAACGTTGGTTTTAATCTTGCTTAACTGTACTTAATTGATTCTTTGTTTTTTGAACTTGTTCGCCAAAGGTATTAACTCTGCATAAAATCCGCGACTACCGGCAAGGGGTGGTCTACAAGTTTTGATACATTCCGTATAGCGGTGCAATCTCCGCATTGGCTGCGCTTCTTTCGTGCATGATGGCAGACAATTCCCTTGAATTTCAAGTCACATGTTCCTCGTGAATCGACATTTACGAAATTGCGAAATGCAGAAACGACGCCGCGCGTTTACTACTTATATAAGAAAATAAACCGCTCTCTCTCTCTCTCTCTTTCTCTCTGAAATTTAACTCAATTAATTAGACTATCTTAAAACTAAATTATCTTTAATTGGATATTGAAAATACCGCTATTCTCTACGTTAATAGATCAAATCATAAAATATCTACTTATCCGTGAAATAAAAGGCGTGTTATACATCATCTAGTGAAAAAGTAAAGGATTATTATTAAGAGAGACACATAACGCTAATTTAACATTTAAAATCAAGATTAATTTGAAGAAAAAATTTGTGGAAAACTACGGATGTGTAACAAACACGCGCCAGAGAAATACATCAAATTTTACGTGTACGTGTATCTACCAGCTATGATGATATTGCGGGATTTATCTAGTGAAGACCGCACGTAGAGCGATGGCGAAGAGCGGAAATCAGCATTTAATCCGCCGAAAATAGATCTGTGGATGATGCGTCGAACAAGGAGAAATAGTAGCTTCAAATACGAAAATATTTATATACTTTGCAGAATCGCTTCGCTGTATTTCACAACCCCATGCCACGTATTTCCTGTCTACCCGCAGTGGCAAACTGTCGCAATTAATTTTTATCGGTCCCGAAAGTCAATTAAACCGAGGATCGATTTACGTAATTAAACAGAGAAATATTATTTAAAATCGACCTCTAAAGTCAGTATTTTTGGCAGGCCCCTTTAGAGAGAAAAAGCCAGGGTGTCAATAGTAATATAGTAATATAAATAATAGAGTAGTATAATTAATAGAAGTATATTTTAATAATAATATAGAAAATTTCAATAAAAAAATTACAATTTTGTTTACTTTTTTTTAACAATACATAATTGTCGATTTTAATATTTTCGTCAATTTTTATTTCTTCTTTATCATCTTATATAATCGTTAATTATTCGCGAAAATTATTAGTTAATTTTTTTCTTGTCAAAAATGTGTATGCATTATTGCCCCATGCTTTTAGAATAAAAATTCACTGCATATGGATAAATATTCGAGATTAAGATGAAGAAAACGAATTAACCGTGAGATAGATCTATAAATCTATAAATAAAAAACTGAACTAATTTCAAAATCTCATAAAAACTTGTTTTTTAACCTTTCAGGTAAACTCTTATTTCGTATACAAATTAATAATCGTTGAAATATAAATAAAAAGAAAATATTCGTGGAAGCAAGATAAATGTATCGCGTGTGAAATTGTTCTGCTGATCCCATTTTACGCCGAGCGGATGAATGCGTATTGAGAATTCTTTTCTAATTTGAATAAATCGCGAGACGTAATCATGAAGGCGAGACAAGCGGAGTTATGGCTGGCGATGCTATACACCGGATCCATGGTGTTCTGCATCACGTCCATCATATCGTTGGTGACCGCCTGGCAGCATTGGACATGGACATTGGACAGCTGCATCGATATCGATTGCGGCTGCATATTGTACGGCATCAACACGTTCCGCACCTTCATCGGCGGCGACGTCAAGCTCTGCCAATTCGGCTCGTACGGTCTCACACCCATAATCGTGATCGCCATGTGTCTCGGCGGTTTTCACGGATACAGATGTTGCATACATAAGAATTTGGATAATCCTAAGCAAATTACCCGCAAACAAACGTACGACGACGACAGGTAGTGTACTTGAGAATCAATTCTTCGCGTTCATATTGCATGCAGATTATATAGGACTAATTGTGTGACTGTATAAGGGTATATATTTTCTATCTTGATGAAAAAACCCAGATAAATAAAAATTTGTTTTTTATACATTCAAAACCCAAACGTAGATTTCAGGCATTTATTTCGTTAAAATCTTTTAACGTTCTATATTCAGAGTAAAACTCTGAAAAGTCTCTATTATTATGTATTATTTTTATATAATTTGCAATTATATAAGATCGTCTTTCTTAAATTCTTCTTCTAGAAACAATCTTAACGGACAAGTCGTCGTGATCCACGTGAAAAAAAGAGCCGTTTTTAAACAATGGATGCCGATCGCTTTCTTTGCAGTATTTATCTGCTGCCTGTCTCTCGTCCATGCAGTCGTGATAACCGATGGCTATTATAAAAGTTGCGAACAATACAAAAGATATCTCATTCAACTTTTGGGTTCAAGAGGCCGCGAAATTCAGGTAAGACGAGCATTTTATCTCGACTAATTTTACTCTTAACGATCAATATCTCTCCCCATAAATAAAACGTAATTTTTCGAGATTAGGAAAAATCTCTCTATCCATTTTTTTTTTTTTTATTATCGCAGGCGATTCACAATAGGCTATCGTGCGGCGCGATTTTCGATTTTATGGATTATCTTCATCCGGATGCCAACAACTGGAGACGCGGCAGCGAGATCAACACAGGAATAGCGCTCCAACTTGCGATATCCACAAGTTGGTTCAATTTCTTCGCTTGGCTCGTCGCATGCTTGATAAACTTCATCATGGCGAGAAAGAGGCTGCGCGACTTAGAAGAAAAATTCTGCTGTTGTTGCTGAGTGACATTTCCCGGTAAAGTTAATTGCCAGTTCACGAAACGTTGCGTAACGCTTTAATATTTTTTGTAAAATTTAATAGAAATGGAAATCTCTTTTCCTCCTATAAAGAAATACATGGATAGGACATCGCGTGTATAATCGATAGTATTGACATTTTATTTATGCAATTTTATACAGAGACAGAGTGCTTTCAGTAGCTCTTTTCTTTTTATATATCAAAAAATTAAATACTCACTCCCGCTGCCGTGGAAAATAATAGCATCCCTCTCTCATATTCGAATATAATTGCCTTCTCTTTATACATTTTTATACAATTTGCGTTACTATATTACACATTGTGTGTACACACATTGGAACAATATTTTTGATCGTCCTAAGAATAAAAGTTCGCATTGTTAACTTAATATGTAAACGAACGCGTTTTTTATATATTAACTCTTTTTTTGTTTGATACACGATTTATAATCCTGCTATTATTATATTATTACAATTAACGAAATATGAAGACGGAAATACTGTGTTACCGTAGGCAGTGACAAAATTGAAATCTAAACTAGTAAAGTATCCGTAAAACTTTTCGAGACATTTATTTCTCTTGCTATGTGTACATGAAGAAATCTATATAAACCAACGATAATAAATAACAGTATATGAAAATTCAAAGAAGGAATGTATCACGTGTGTATCTACATTATATACGTAGCCGTAATAGAGACTTTATACAATCGAATTACATCGCCTTAGGACGTTAAAATGCTTGGTGTTTCTTAGCACCTAGTTCGTACCATTTTATACACGGTGTACACAGAATGACAGAGTATTTTAAGACTTGGAATAACAAAACATTTCCCTCGTTGTTCAGTAAATACATTCAAATCATTCTTATCAAATTCACCGAATCGGTTCATCAAATTTTAATATTTAATTCTGTTCGCATAAATCATTCTTAGTTTTGTATGTCTGTGTATATGAACATGTGTGCTAGCGGCATGAAGAAATCGCTTTTAATTCCCTATAGATTACACATATCTCTCACCTGGTTATGTATAGGAACTAAACTGAAGACAATTTTTTCAGATATACACTATCTCTTATATGTATAAATACAATTGACTCTGTTTATTTTATATAATACTAATCAGCTTTTATACTACACGACAGCAAAGACTGCAAAAGCTTGAACGCTACTTAATGAAGGAAGGCACCTAATCATACGAGCTAATATATCTACAAATTATGTTACAATTTTTTATATATGTATATATATGCATGCGTGCATGCATAAAAACACGCGTAGATTATAAACATTTCTTTTTTTTTTATAATATTGTCATATCTTTTTACACTAAACTAGATTGCAGATCCTCGATTATAAAAGGCGCAGTATATTAGCAGAAAGTTTAGTTCGAATAGATTTCCAAAATTACGAAATCCCGTGTGTATTAAATTCACTCGCTAGAGAATCGAGAATAGTTTAACAGCTTTAACATATACAGATTCAATGCGAGAAAAGAAATGAATATCAATAAATATTTAATCCTACTAGTATCGCGTCGTATTACGTCAAGTACACCAAGTATTAGTGTCGTTTCTACTGCTCATATGCTTTACTTAACAGTCTCGATCATGAAGGACACAAAAGAATCCCAGTATTTGTTTTGAACAATTTCCCTATATATCTATTGCTATAAATTATCAGCAAATTGTCGAATTAGAAACAAAGAAATATAGCTGTCTTACATACGATTTAAACGTTAATCGAGACTATTAAATAATAAGTCAGTCTTACACGATAAGGCCAATTCTTTAGGCAAACCTGCTCGTTCTTTTATGATAAATATTACAAATCACTTCGATGCTATTATCTGCGCCTTTGTAATATCGAATTCAGTAAATTATGCATTATGTTAATTTTCATGGGGAGTACTCTGTGTGTTCTATTCTCTTTTTTTTCTTCAAGAGACTGTAAATACGCGGTAAAAATTTCTTATCTTCCTCATCAAGAAATTTGCCCTTTACGAATTGCGTTTACAGGTATATATATGTATATATAGTTCAGATAACTCTCTTAGAAAAATTGTTTTATAAGAACTATTATATAGATCGTACTAATAGAAATCTACAAATTTTAAAGTACAAACGTAGTGAAAAGACTTAGCTGCAAAAATAGATGCACGAGTTCTCTCTCTCTCTCTCTCTCTTTCTCGGTTTACCTATTTTTGTAATTTTTTTGGTATCGAGCTGCCAAGTTCCACAACCTGGTTTCACGTTAAAATACACGTACATTGGAAAGTACCTCTCGCGCTCTCTCTCAAAGATCAATATTTTACTTTTTATAACGCAATGTCTTTTTTCTCATTGTTATCTGTCCTGTCTGTGTGTAAATCTTCTAAAAATGCAAAAAGCAATTAAAAAAAGTGACAGTATATATGAATTAATACTTTCCGACTTTAGTGTAAATCACCGATTTTATATGATCCACCCACACACGTTTATCAGTTAGGCATGTATAAATATATTTGTTCACGCTATATGCCTTCTGATATAAACGTACGCAGCTAATTGTTGCTATCACATTACATTATCGTTTGTGAAAAAAATATGCAACTATTGAGAAATTATAGTATTCATGTTTATACATTTAGACACTTTTTAAGTGTATATTTTTATATTTCTTAATTTAATATTGAAAAAAAGAAAATGAAAAATGATGGAGTTATTTTTACATAATTTTAATTTTTAATTGAAAGGCGCATTAAATGTTAAAAAAATAAAATGTATTTTTCCTGATATAATTACTGTAATATAAAATATTTATAATAAATAAGATATACATATTTTATGTATAATCGTTTTGTGTAACTATTTATCAAGGAATCCAGACATTCCAAATTAATAGAATATTTAATACAATATTAAGATATTAAATAAATTATATTTTACTCTTCGTTTCATACTTTTTCACAAACGCAGCATGTCGAAAACGGATAATGTAAAATAATTTTATATATTCATTCTCTCTCTCTCTCTCTCTCTGCTGACAAATTTTCGTGCATTCGAAAGGCAAATTGCCGTAAAAGCATTTTCCGTATATGTATATATTATAAATACAACCTGTATGTCGACTGGTTTTCCAATTAGAGATTTTACTACATCGTTTTTTTACGGAATTAATGTCTTGTTTTAGCTGTATTTTTGTATTCGTAATACACGTAATGAAATACCGGTTAATAAAAAAAAGAACGGTGCCAATGATGTTTACCCGAGTAATTGATAATCGCTCTACAATATCATGTTGATCAATTGTATCGCGTCCTAATTTTTTACCTGTTCCAGCGTTTCTGATAAGCGGCTCTATGCCAACTAGCCGGGACCGTCTCATCTCAGGTGAACGGATTGCTCCGCCTCTTCAACGATCCGAACCGTTTCTCCGACGCTTCGCGGATCACCTCAAAGGGTGCAACCTTCGTCCGTCCCGCTTGTCTCTCTTCATTCTCGTCACTGGGAAAATCCTCGAAGCTCATGTTGCTGAAACCCGCAGTTGCAGCCGTACTACTTTTCTTGCCTTTGGGCGTTTTCTTGTGATGACTCGTCGATTTGATCTTGTGAGAAACCTTGTGCGCCGTCTGTAACACGTTGACAATCTCACCGTGATTCTCGTCGATCAGATGATACTTGGATTTGTCCGACTTGGATCTCTCCCTCTTGTTATGCTTGGGCGTGTCATCGTCTACGACGACCAGAGGCTCGGGCGACATGGGCGATATCATGTCGCACGTAATGTCCACCTTGGAGACGCTGTTGACCGCATGCACGGTAATCCTGGCGGTGTGCGCGGTTGGTTGAATCGTATAAGTGGGCGTGGGTGGCGGCGGCGGCTGTGATTGCGACGGTGGTGTCGGCATCAAGTGAACAATAGTATTCTTCGGGGATTGCATGACGCTGCTGACGACGAGTAATGCCGACGTAGTGGATAACGCGACATTATCCACGTAGTTGGGCGACTGCGATAGCGATAAAGATGTTGGACGTTGCTGTTGCTCATTGATCTTCAGCGAAGCGAACTCGTCGAATGGGATTGACCCGAAGAGATCCTTGGAAGATTCCGCTGCAAGTTCACCGGAATTCACCGTCACCTTTCCATATTTCGATGTTGAAGCGACCGTGCTACTAGAATGACTTGTGTAATAATTATCCGATACTACATTGTTGTGAGATGATTGCAGCTGAGGGACGCGGTTACCATAATCGATGTAGGAAGAGGAAGAGCCTGCCGGACTCAAAATCGTCGATATCGTCGGCTGAGTTGACGTTGAGTCGATGTTGGCGACAAAGCTGGACTGAACATTGTTGAAGGGATTGGTGAATCCGCTGAATCCGGGACTGAACGGCGAGGAACCAAAAAGATCCTTTTCGGCATTTTCCTGCTCTTCCTCCTCTCCCTCTTCCTCTTCAGCGATGCCGACGTGAGGATTACTCTTGACTGGGGATGTTTGAACGTCCGGTTGACGAGGAAAGGATGATGGTTCCTCGTAATAGATAGTCTTGTTATTTGCGATGCTCTTCGGATACTTGCAGGATAAAGTAGCAGGCCTGGGCGGTGGAAGTGCCGTCGCTTTACTTTCTATTACATCCGCAAACACCACTTCAGCCGGTAAGGGTGAACTGGAAATCGGCGTCACCAAATTCGAATTACGAGGCGAATTCCTCGCGCTGCTGCTCGGATCAACATTTTTGGGCTCGCTCTCGCGACTATCGCTACTCTTCCTGGAGCTGCTGGACCGTGGAAATGGTGCCAAGGCGAACACGTCATTCTCCACCTTCCAGATGCCGTTTTGAATCAGCGATTTGGACTTGTCGTCGTTGTCATCAGACGAGCTGTCGCCATTGTTGAATAGCAACGGCTTAGAGCCGTACTGATGTCGCACGAAGGGATCCCCGTGCGACTGTTCCGGCTTTGACTCAGGATCTAATTCGTCGTCTAGGAGCAACGGTTTCTCGCCGTACTGATGGCCGACAATCGGATCCGCGTCAATGGTCGGCAGCTGTTGCACCTGTTGCTGTCGATAGTGGTGCTGTCTCCTCGGCCTCTTCATCCTATAATCATCCTCGTGCGTCGCCACGGACTCGCATTCCGCATGATACGCGGAACTGCCACACGTACGCACGCTCTCGGAGATGGTCTCGTCATGCTTGCCGCGCTTGTCGCCATCATCGTCGTCGTTCTCCTCGCCATCCTCATCGTTTCCTTCTTCCTCGTCATTCATCGCACGCAGATCGCTGGCCGAGCCGATCGAATCGTCCGACTCGTAATCCACGTTTGTCGCGTTACTATTGTCCGCGTTCGTATCGCGTTGAGCCGCCACTCTTCTTTTGCCGCGGCTCAACACGTTCTTCACCCGCCGCCTCGTCTTCCTCGCTCGTTCCTTGGTGCCTGTCTTTCCATCGCTGTCGCTAGACACTTCGTCGGCGTTGAACGCCAGCTTCTCGTACTTGGAACGATCCTCGGTCGGCGCGCGAACAAACGGCGGTGAGACCGGGCTGGATTCCGTGATCAAGGACGCCTCGTCATCCACGCCGCCGCCGTGTTCGAGCCCGGAATTGTTCCACTGCGTTAGGGGTACTCTCGCCGATTTTCCTGCAAAACAGAACATTGCAAAACGATTATCGTCCGATTGCGTAGAGAGACTGAATTCTTTATATATATCGATAATTTTCTTCTTATAATACTTAAAACTAAATCAGCATGAAATCTCTGTTATTACCAAAGCACATATCGTACTTACCTATATTATGTTTTATTTTGTCAAATCTCGTTAAAGAAAAGTAATTCGCGCGACAATATAATTTTATATTAATCGATTACCGCGAAAAGTTCTCGAAAATGCTCTTAAATACTATGCAAAATATATCAGATTTATGATTCATAAAATATAAAATTTATCATATAAATTTATATGATTTATAAATGTAAAAAATCTACGATATAATGCCTGTTTTATAGCGGAGAAATATAAATCGCAAATTCATAAAAAGATTGTCAATAGGACACTCCGTATATACGAAATATTGCAAAAGATATTTTATACAAGTCGCTCTTGTTAATAAATAACATTACATTAATATATAATATTAATGCATATTTTTGCAATATACAATCAATATAAAAGAAGTTATATTCATAAAATTATTAATAAAATTATTAATTATTTTTTTAGTTTAGTCAACTCGCTATATAATATACGTTATGTATATAATAATTTTTGTAAAATGTAACATCCCCCACAAATTTTACTTTTGATTATTATAAATAAAAATATTAAATATTTTAATCTCCTAAATATTTATAGATATAGTACTGATAAGGCGTAATATATATCTACAGAAGAAAAAGACCCAGAAGAAACAGGAAATGTCTGATTAGGTCTGCTGCAGGTCTATGTGCTCTGCCGAAATACAATGTGCATTGATATTTTACAATCTTACTCTATGTAATGAGTCTTCGGAAAAAAATAATGTTAGATTTTCTCAACATAAAGAAAGATGATACACAACAAATATATTTTTTTTTAATTTAAGCTAAGTTAGTACCGCCACCAATAGGTCTGGAACAGTCCTAATCAGATTCAGGGGGTTGAGGATAAGTGTGCCGAAAAACGCAGTAATGCTCTGAATAAATAGCGATAACAAATTGGTTCAAAGCTATCGCGAAAATACACGTATCTTTCGTCAAATTATGCCTAGATCATTCGTGCGAAAGAAACAAAGTATTGCTGCGTTTTACTATGCCACAGTAGCATTTAGAAGAAACAAATACTTCGTATGCTAATTTACATTTTTATTGCTGCAACATTATTTGTCTTAATACAGCCGAGAAAGATATACTGTCCGAGATAGATTTGTCAGCCCCCTATAGTGCTCTCGAGATTCGCTCAAAATTATTTTTCTTTCATTTTCATATAATTATCGCTACGGAGGCCACAAGGAGAAAAGCATGCTTATACGTTCGACGGTGATGGATAGATAACAAGTTTCTTTTTTACGATGTCGCATCTCCGAGATGGCACACGTGTGTATTATTACTATTATTATTATTAGAGACACCATGGGAGGCAAACAAAGCAGGACTAAAGATAAAAAGAAAAAGAATTCCATAAACATAAAACGAAACTTAGTGTGTCTATATGCCTCCCAAACTCATTAGGTTGTTCCAGACATTGGACAGATAAATATAATTTTTTTTTCTCTCACAGAGAAACAAACACATTTATCATCAATTTTCATTGTCTCTGCCTTTTATCACATACCCTGAACAATTTATGATACTTACACGCTCAGGAAGAAAAAATAATATTATGGCGGTTTTGTGGTAATACTACTAGTGCTAGTGAAAAAAAGATATTCTAATTTCACTTCACTTTACATATTGCACAATATTAAATCTGTAATATAATTAAAAAAAAAAAAAAAACAGTTCGTCAATCTGTCTTTATATCTAAAAATCTAAATTATTATTTCGCTTCCTGTATGGAAATTCCATTAAAAGGAATAACAATTATATAACAAGTATGTACAATGTTCGATAATATCTATAGTATTCTTTACATCATACATAAATAGGTTTTCAATACAAATAATTATCGCATTCATCACAAATATCTGAGACAAATATGCGAAAGAAATACACACAATACAAAAATCGTGATTTATACATTTTTAGATAAGATAAAGTGATGTAATTATTGGCGATTTCCGATTACTTTTACGAATAGAGATATTTTAAGAAACTAAATTACATCATTTTATCTTAAGCTTTGTGATGTGAGCCAAAGAAATATAAATAAAGAAATGTTAGTTATATTAAAGAGAAACCCACAAATAGTAAAAAATAGTGATGTCATGTAAAAGCAGTGTAAATGAGATGCTATGAGAAGAGACGAACAAAAATAGAGAGAAAGGAAGAAAAGAAACAGTCGAAGTGCAAGAAGTGAGGATGAGGAGAAGAATGAGAAATAAAAAAATAATTGCTAAATATTATTTGCCAGTCACTGTAGTATTACCATCGCGCGTGAGCAGATACAATTTTGCAATTTTTATAACCGTTGTGCACACATGTCTGTATGTATATATTCACGTGTGTTCACGCTTTGCGTAGAGAATTGTTTTGTGGGAAGGAAAGGTCTGCGTACCCCATATTTCCACTCTTAAAAATAAATCATTGATGTGCTCTAACACTTACACGCGATCCTTGCATTACATTAATTGCATTGTGTAATCCTGTTGGAAATACTTGAAACCTATTCTTCCCACTTTTTTATGCTATATAATACAATGATTATAACACATATAATATACGTTTGCACGTACATATGCATATACGCACTTGAGTAGGACAAAATAGTGTACCGAAACTTTATGTATATCACATAATATATAACATAATTTTTCAATTTATATATATTTGTTCATTTATATTTATATGTGCGTAATATTTATATGTAATTTTGTTCCTTTCTTTTATCGATACATCAACTATCTCGTACGAAAACACTAAAAATAAAAGCTAATCCTGCGCTTTGTGCGCTACATATATTGTAGGAACATCTATTGTAAAGTTAAAGACAAAATTTCTTGTCGTATATGTCTCGTCATAATTTCAACAATATTTAATAATTGCTATAACATAATAATTAATATATACCATATTTCAAGTCTAATATTCGATGTATTAGCCTTACGTTGTAACTTCCTATTTGAGGTCAGTAGAAGTTAATATATGTAGTTTACTAGCAAAATGTGTTTTACCATTCCTTTTGCGTAATTGAGCATAACTGAGCATCACAATCACTTTTTTGCAGATGTATAAGATAATAAAATATTAATTATACCTTTATCAAGAAAAAAATTGTCATAAAGCACTTTGCAGTCATTAACATATTTATATAAGAAAAATATTCCATGATATTTATGAACACAATCTTAATAAACGTATTTTAATAAACAAAACTAATTTAGATTAACAAATATAATACATATATATCATTAAAAATTACAAGTTGAAATGATCACAAACATCCTTTGTAAATAATATTACAAGAGAGCATATATGAATAAAAAGATAATGTTCTTCAAATCTTTTTCGTGTCAAAATTGTTCATAGATTACATTTCTCTCCATTAATTGTCTGCCCCCCCTATTATATTTAATAGATATGATTTATACACACACACACACACACATATATATTGTGTGTGTGTATATATATATGTTTGTGTGTTTAAATTAACAAGCATAGTATTTTTGAAAATTATTAATTATGCAAAGAGCGTTTTTTACTTTTATTTTTTGTATAAATAGCAACGTTTAGACATTGTAACTTATCACACATCTTTGGTAAGTTTGATAAATGGTAGTATAGAGAATCCCTCAATTAATCTATTTAGAGAAACATTATTTAAAAAGGAATTTCTTTCTTTAATTAAATTTTTAACAGAACAATGCGATGATATGATCGACATTATCAACTGTGATTATGTATTGTATCACAAATCAAGTTATGCATTGTAATACTAATTAAATCGGGAGAGGAAACATCGTTATATTTTACATATTACGTTGAAACACTATATTCCTCTCGTCACATTAGTCAATTATCTCTATATAAAAATTAAGATTTTCTCTTATGTACATGAAAGTGCACAAAAGCATAACATGCTGATAGTATTATCGTTTCAGCATTTTTTTATCTACATCTATTGTCCACAAACATTGTATGTAAATACACTGTTATTTGTACACAATTCTATCTGATAGTTATTGTGGCAAAATGATGCAAATTGAAAGAAAAGGAGATACTTAATTGAAATAGAGATTACTTTTTAATTTTAGAGGAAAATTTTTCTCCAATTTTAAATGAAACATATTTCATATTTCTATTATCAGCCCACATTTTTGCACACATTATTACGTTTAAAAATTGTATATCTCTTGTAAGTTGTGCTGAATGTCTTATAATCTTTATACGAGTCTCCTAATGCTGTAAGAGAATATCTTACAATCATAATATAGTCTTAACAATAATTTTGTCAATTGCATGAAATTAAACTAAAAAAGTAATTGTATTACATGATTAAACTAACAATAACCAGGTCCAACCTTGTTATTGAATGAGAAATATAATGTTCTATAAAGCCATACTTGTAAAATACATTTAATCTTTCTAAGAAATTTTTATACTTTTTTTTATATGTAAAACTAGGGGTAAAATGTGGTGTTTTTTTTTTTAAGACGGTCTCAGTTGTATACCAAGATTACTTCTAGCATTTTATTCTTTATAAAACAATTCGATACCTCGAGTTAAGTTAAATATACCCCATAATTAATTATATGATTAATTGCATTATTATATTTATATCAGTCTATAAAGTTCTATATATTTATCAATATATAAAAAACGAATATACTATATCCGATTTATATAAAAAACTATATATACTCAACAATATGTACAAAAAGAGAGTAATAGTAAATAAATCTCATTTCTCATCTTTTTTTAAATGAGCAGTTTCTTTTCAAAACTTATCTTTCGATAAGCTGAATTCTTACTGTCGAAGTTCTTTGGTATACATTGCCGAGACTCATCGAAAACGACGAAAGACAATGATTGTAACTATAGCTTCAAATCTCATATAGCAATGATTTGGCAAAAGTAAGAAACCAAGTATTAAAACAGCGAGCGAATGATTTTTAAATCAAGATATATAGATTAATAGATTAATATAGGAGCAGAGTGTGGAAGAGAGATGGTGAGGACAATGTAAAAAGGATTTTATGCATTACCTCCAGCAATAGCAGCAGTCTTTGATCCAATTTTACTCTTCTTCCCTGCTTAAAGAAAGAATTAAAAGGTCAACAGATACACTTTAGCCTTATAATATTCAATTTCATGTTTGCATTAATTTTGCAACTAATAACTAGAATCTTAATGTGTGAGAACTTACTTGGCAGGCTAAAGGGTGCAGATTCAAAGGGATCCTCTGGTAATTCTGTATATGTCATAACGAGGCTTTCACGACTTTTCACTCCACTGATACTGGTATTGCTCCCTCTTCTTATTTTGTCAAATTCAGCACCGAAAATATGATCTTCTGTTAACTGATTAAAAGGTTGTACGTCTTCAAACGGATTCCATGCAGCCACATCCGCGCTCAATGATCGCCCTTCCGATCCCATTAGGCTCGAAAGTTCGCCCTGATAAAGGTGCAGACAAATTTTTAAGTATTAACTGTTTCAAATTTTTAATATTTTCGAATTTACTTGGAGATATGTACGAGTGTCATTAATGACAGTGCAGTGCATAAAAAATAATATATAAACACATAAAAACCAAATTCTAAATATGTGTACAAATAAAACTAAGTATTTTCTATGTTATATTTTATATTATATATTATATCTTATATTTACGCGGTAATTTTGCCCCAAAAAATTTTTTATGTTTTATTATGCTCTAAGATCACTGCTCGATGTATACAAGAAAGACTTTTTTCTCTCCCGTTACATTTCTTGCATAAAGTAAAATATAATTTTACGTAAATCACACATAATACAAAATAAAATATGATTCAAGCGGAAATTAAAGCTTTTTAACAAAAATAAAAATAAAATTGTGCGCTTCGTCTACTTACAACACGTACATGCGAGGCACTAGTTGTTATACAAGGCCTTGTATCACTTGGAAGTTCGGGAGGTGTAGTCGCATCATCGGAACGCGGCTTAACCGAAGCCTCGTATGGCGCTAAGAATTGAGTGGTTTCAGTCGCAAACGCTCTGTGAACATCGAAATGGCCACTGTAATATAAATAAAAGTATTTTGACAAAACAAAGAAAAAGAAAAATTCTACAAGCATAAATTCCAAATGCTTAAAATTTTTCTGACGGTGGTTTGAAAGAAATTTACCGATAAATCTTTATAAAAGCTGCGAATATGATATAAAAAAGTAAATAAATATATATTAGGATAATAAAATATATAGGCTTACTTACTTATTAAAAGCACTCGTATCGCTGACATTCCTTCTGTGCCGCGAGGACAATGTCGGACTGTCAGGAGGAGATGTGCTCGAGCTTATGTTTTGACTCAAGCTTTCCGTTTTATTAACTGGTTTCGGTAAAGCTGGCGGTGTCACCTGCGTCGGTGGAGTTGCTTTGTTAGGCCCCGTTGAAATAGACAACTTCGATGGTATTGAAGCGACCGGCGGATATTTAGATGACGACGGGTAACTAGGATTAGATAGTTTTGGGAGAATTTTGCCAGGTTTAGGAGCGACGGGAGGTGGAATTTTGGTAGGTGGCGGCATTGCCGTCGCGTCGTCTTTGAACGGATCCGGATATCCTGTAAAGATAACGATGAATAAATTACTTAGTCATCTTTATTTTTTGCTCTTTATATATAACTTAGATCCATGTATTGTGAGTTTACCTGATGATGGAAATAGAGCTTCCAGATTCTTCTCATTGACATTTGTTCTCGTATCGTGTTGCCGCGAATCAAAATAAAATGCATTCTTATCCTGAACAGTAACAGGTGACTGTTGAGTTAGAGGAGAGTGACTAATCATCGGGCTTTGAGATGGCTGTCCCTGCGATGGTTGGACAAAGGGAACATTCTGATTGGGGGTGCAAACATGCGGCGAAACCTGACACAAAATAGAATAATTATATTAAAGACTGTATTTATCGCACATAAGTACTTGTCGAAAAAAGTATCTAAACGTTTCTGTACATTTCACGTGGAACGTAATTGGAAGACTTAATCGGGATAAATTATATTATTAGGGGTCATTTGCGCGCATTAGAGTCTTACTTGAACATAAGAGATAGAATTTCCCGGTGTAGTTTGCGCCTGATTTCCTTGACCTGATATTTGTCCTACGATTTGACCGCTCAAACTGATCGGTCCTGTACTAACAGCTTGTCCCTTCGGTCTCTGTCTCGGCGTCACAGATGTGCCCTCGACCGCCGTCGCGATAGGCGCAGGCTTTGGAGTTTTGACAGATGACGATCTTTTAATATTTTCAGATTCCATGAGCGGGCACGGTAACGACTCTATTGTCGGCGTAGGGACTTTCTATAAGAATAAAAACGAAAATAAAATTATTATAAAATCGAATTCAATATAGTTTTATGCAAATATTGCGACACACGTACATGTAAATTTTGCACAGGGCACTCTTTACCCTGAATTTGAAAAGCAATCGCAGAAACTTGATAAATGTCAGGACGTAGATCAGGATCTGGTTCAAGCATGTACCGAATCAAACAATGAAGAGCCTTGCTATATCTGTAACATAAAAATATTTACACATATCTATTTATATATATACATATATAAAAGTATGTTTTATATTTGACATAAAACCATTTTCTCTCAATATACACACATACATGGCTAATTCATATATTTCCATCATTTTGTTGGATCATTAAATGGTTAAAAATTGAGAAAATTTTTCTTAATTGTATAAATTTATTACATACCTTGAATTATCCGGTATAGTGAAATTTCCAGATTGTATAGCAAGTGTGCTTTCACCAAACGGTAGTGTAAAGAAACAAAGTTTATACAGCAGGCATCCTAAAGCCTGAAAGACGAGAATTCGATGTCAAAACACTCGCGCTTAGATTTATTCTTGATTTACATTACAATTAGGCAATATGATAGATAATGTAAGCTACCCATATATCCGCCTTCGTAGTGATAGGTTTTCCACAGTACATATCAACCATTTCAGGCGCTCTATAACTTAAAGTGGTATATTTCTTTATCTCCTCCTCAACAACCGCGGCGCCGTGAACGCTGGGATTAAGAACCTTTCCCGTCGCGGATCCAAAATCACATAGAACATAATGACCGCTATCAGCAAGCAGTATATTTTCCACCTATCGCAAACCAATTAAGTACAGTTTAGTATATAGTATAATGATACGTTATATAATACATTCATTAAATAGTTCACCTTGAGATCTCTATGAATTATGGGAGTTTGACAATGATGCAACCGAGACACAGCTTCGCAAACGTCACAAAAAATTTGTAGAACTTCTGATTCACTGAAACCTGTTTGCAACCTAGAAATAAGAAGATGCTAATGTATGCCATAAATTTTCACAATGTTTTTAGATCACAGTAATCGATGGATCTGTAATATTTTGCATACAGAGATATTACGAATTTGCATGTTATAAATATTAGACTATCTGAATATTATTATGAAAATAAATATAAAGTTTAATAAAATTATATCCTTCCTAACCTGTTATTCATCATTTGAAGAACTTGGGATTTACAATAAGGCATTAAAAGCAGAAGTTCATGTACTCCTTTGCCAGTGTGAGTTATACTACTATCTATATATCCTATGATATTTTTATGACCATTCAAGTTGCTCTACAAATAAAAGGTTCTATTCAATACTTTTAGACTCTTAAACAGAATATTATACATTTCTATATAATGTAAAAGAAGATTGGTTTTACTAACATTTCATTATATATGCAAGTACTCACGGCAATTTGTATCTCCCTTTTGCATACATTGAGATCATGTTCATTGTTGACATACATCCGTTTAAGCGCATATCGTCCACCTGAGGCTTTGACCAAAAATACAATTGCAAATCCTCCTGTAAGATAAGATAATTGCATTATGTAAAACAAGAATAGAGCATACAAGAGAAATGTTTGTTAAAATGCAAATTATATAATTACGCATAATTTATTTCATCATGAATCATTTACACTCAAATGCGAGCCAAGGCGCAAATTGAGATAAAAAGTGTATATAAAAACTGACAACAAGATCATCGTGAAACATGCTGTACATTGTAACATGATGCGGATACAATTACGACAGACACTAATCAATAAAGCATGGTAATAAATAGGTTTTAGTATTCACACATTATCTCTCTCAAAGTACAATCGCTGATTGGACAATCAATTTCTCTGCACCATGCTCTAATATACGTAAGGCAAAACTCCATGACATCATCTAATATTCTGTAACAATGCGAATAATATTTGAATTTTTCTAGAGCGAATTTCGCAACGTTAACTTACGTTCGGAAATAATTAATTATATCATTCTCAAGTGACAAGGCTGAAACTTTCCCTAAAACTATTTGTATATAAATTTCTCGACCCTTCGCGGCGTAAAATATAATTCATAATAAACACATAAAATTCTTAAAGAGCTAATGAGCTTAATAATGTTTACCGACTGTCCTGTACCATCGTCGCTTATCGGTATCGCGGGTTACGCATGCGATCGAAATATTTCAACGATTTCACACAGGCGGTTCGGAGTAGAAAAAAAAAGCGGGACGGGGCGGGAGGATCTAAGTAGAGCGGAGAGTTCGTTGCGTATCGTGTTAGGATCTAAATAATAGCCCGCGCTCGAGAACGAGAGGAGAAAATGACGCGGATGTTAATCAGGCGGTAATCGTGTCGTGTATATATACCTTCTGCCAGAACCTCCTCGACGGTGACCGTGTGACTGCCCACGACGAACACCTTGCCCAAATAACTGTTAGGCTCCTTCGACGTGTTGTCGATCTTGGAGAATAGCTTCTTCATGTTCATTGCGCGCTCCGTCCTCGTCGTCGTCGTCGACTTGACATAAGGCCCTCGCGCTCCGCTCCGCGATCCCCGCACACACTGCCCCCACCCCCTTCGCCACCAAAACGGTTACGATACGATACGATACGGTACGGCGGCACACGGCGATCTGGCACGGTGCTCTCTCTCTCTCTCCTTGTCTGTCTCGCGCGCGAGGATACTTCTCTTCTTCCTCCTTCTCCTCCTCCTCCTACGGGGAGAGAACTACGCGTTTCGTCGCAAATCGACCTGGTAGTGTACTCAACTGAAGAAAATCGCCACGATGGCGATCATGATAAGAACCGTCGACGTATCATACATCACTTCGCCGCTCCACGGCCGGTCGACATATTCGGCCCGTAAGTCGACTGCGCAACCGCGCCTTCGCAGCGGCGACGTCGGAAACATATGTGCACGACTTCCGGCCGAATGTCAAACTATCCGTTGATAACATGCATGAAGCTAGCCGGCAGAAATTATTAATAATGATTATTTTTAACTTTTTTTAGTGTATTTCGTTTGTAAATCGTTTGTGATTGATTGTGAGTCTGTTTTTAACGTTTGTGATAAATTAGGTCTTTTGTAATTTAACAATTTTAGTTTAGTCATGATATCAGCCGATACTTTTTAGTAATAAACAGATTTTATGATAACTGATAACTGTAATCGACAGGAAATCGTTTGTGATTTACAAATATACCAATATTACGTTTGTGAATTGATAAATATTTTAATTACGTGAAAATACATTTATTTTATAATTGCAGTGCGCATGCGCAAAGTATACTCAGACTGATGCCCGGTCTACAATGAGTCGTTAGTCGCAAGCAAATTAACCAACCACAGTCGATTATTCCTAGAATATTCTTGGAATAATAGACTGTGGATTGTCATATTGCTTACGACTAACGACTAACGACTCAGGGCCAATTTCACCAAGTCCGGTTAGATTAACCGACGGTTAAAATTAGCAGGGTGGCCAACAGAAAATAGAGGTGAAGGAAAACCAAGCATTCATATAATTTTACTTGGAACCCTGCTAATTTTAACCGTCGGTTAATCTAACCGGACTTGGTGAAATTTCAGGATTCAAGATTGAAATTTGACCAATCAGAGGCTGCGTTTCGTTTCACGCATTGAGCGCATAGATCGCCTGGAAATCTATAGTTCACGTAACATATATTATAGATTTCCAGGCGATTTATGCGCTCAATGCGTGAAACGGAACGCACCCCTTGTCACTTACACCATGGAGTAAAGAAGAACAGGAAGGAATGTATCGGCAGTGGGGGTAGACCTTAGAACATATATAAATGGAAGAGGGCATAGCAGGCTGAAAAGTGTCGGAAGGAAGTGAGAAAGAAAATCATAGTTGCCTCTCACTTGTGAGTAACTGCTCAAAAGTGCGCATGCCCTGCTTACCGGTTTGGCCCAATGAAAAATAAGGTTACATTAGTCACATGTATGTGTGTACACAAAAGTATGTATATCTACAGACACGATGCTTGTGTGTATAGTTACTCACAAGAGAGAGGCAACTACGATTTTCTTTCTCACTTCCTTCCGACACTTTTCAGCCTGCTATGCCCTCTTCCATTTATATATGTTCTAAGGTCTACCCCCACTGCCGATACATTCCTTCCTGTTCTTCTTTACTCCATGGTGTAAGTGACAAGGGGTGCGTTCCGTTTCACGCATTGAGCGCATAAATCGCCTGGAAATCTATAATATATGTTACGTGAACTATAGATTTCCAGGCGATCTATGCGCTCAATGCGTGAAACGGAACGCACTCCTAGATGAACCGACAGTTAAAATTAGCAGGGTGGCCAACAGAAAATAGAGGTGAAGGAAAACCAAGCATTCTTATCATTTCATTCCTGCACCTGCTAATTTTAACCGTCTGTTAATCCTTCATGCTTCATCTTCATGGAAGCAGAGATGCCAATTCTGAGACTCTGCCACAGCCACAGCGTGTGGAGGGGATAACTCACACAAGCGTGAAGCGTGTACATGTAATGCGCAGAGTGTTCTGCGCATTACACGTACACGGTTCACGCTTGTGTGAGTTATCCCCTCCACACGCTGTGGCTGTGGCAGCGTCTCAAAACTGGCATCACTGCATGGAAGTGACTCGGCTGATGCTGATGATAGCCAGTAAGGGATATGTGACGGATGGCCGCGTCTGATGCATGACGGCCGATATCTTTATCGCGTTGGCCGAGCTTGATATTCGTGTTGATTTTGTGACGAATGTCATCGCACGACAATAAAACAATGAGCTACGACGCGCGATGCTTTAGCCATTAGAATGGCAATGAGCAAACGGGCGTCAAACGTCGACATCGTCGTCGTCATTACGCTGCACAGGCTTCTGTAATCCGCGCGGTGGGGAGATCGAGATCGAAGGATCTCGCACGAATGCGACACGAAAGCGACGAGCAAAGCTGATAGTGAACATGGGCAATTGCCTGAAACGCGCCGCCGGCAATCAACAGGACAATACCACTCTGCTGAGCAACAATCCCGAGCCCAACGTGTCCACTAGCGGATCTTCGCAGGAGGGCCTTGGACCTCCGATTCCCTACAACGTAATAGCGTCGTCATTCGCGTATAGTCATTCTTATCAACTGGAAAATCGCGTCGTTCATTTTTCAGACGAGCGATTCTCGAGCTTTGTCCCGTCGTTAGCGACTTTTTTTTTTCTCTCTTTGTTCACCTTTCTCTACCTAATTTGAAAAACATGTTTTCTTAATTTTAAACAGATTTTGATAAAATGCAATACACACTTGAAGAATTAAGTCTCTTGCACTTTGACATTTGTTGTATTAATTACGTTAATTCAATTCAATCTTTACATCTTCTTGATTTTACTACTGCATTTACACTAATGATTCCAATTTTGATTTCAAACTGAAAGAAAGATTTGAAATAGACATTGTTGAAGATTCACACGCTAATTCTTATCGAAGCCTTGATATCAAGTAAAATAATCAGTTTCTGGAGCAAATGTACATTTCTCTTAAAGTTCCAAGGATCCATATAAGTGATGGAAGTAAAATTATTAGACTAATTGATTTTCCAATGTTTTACAGCAAGCAACTTATTATCCATCAATCGCTACGAGGGAACGTCATTTGCAGTCCACCAACTTGAACATTGGTCATGGAATCGGAGTCAATTTAGTGCAGACTAGTGGCTCGTCTGGTTTGAGCGAAGAGGAACAACAGGTGAGGATCGCTAAGCGCATAGGACTGATACAGCATTTGCCGATGCGAGAATATGATGGTGCAAAGAAGGGCGAGTGTGTGATATGCATGATGGAGCTGCTGGTGGGCGAAGAGGTGCGTTATTTACCCTGTATGCACACCTACCACGCAATTTGCATCGACGACTGGTTGTTACGCTCATTGACCTGTCCGTCATGCATGGAGCCAGTGGATGCGGCGCTAATTAGCTCATATCATCCGACTACTTAATATCAGAATGACTGGAATTTTATTTGGTTCGGCCGATCGGCGAATTGGAATTAAATTATCAAGCTAAATGTGAAGCAACTGAAGAGAAAGCGAGAGAAAGAGAGAGAGAGAGGGGGGAAAAAACTCGCTTCTTTTACTAGAACATATTAAAGGCTTCAAGGTTAGTAGAGAGATCGTGTGTTAATGGCCTGACTATATTTCGCCGTTACACTCGATTTATACGTGCGTGCTGTTTAATAATAATCTTTATCTCAACACACCTATTACATCCGCAAAAGCGAATTTTTTAGATCGTTTCCTACGATATAAAGGAAAGCAAAAAGATTTTATTTCAATTAAATTCTATGAAACACATCATATCCGCAAAATCCTTTTCCTTGTAGTGAGTTAATTGCTTGTACATTGATTTCTTATATTAGATGAAGCAAAGAGAAAGAGAGGTAGAGAAGGCGGCTCGATGTAATAGTGCAATAAAGGAGTTCAGTAAGCCTCATGTACACCAATATATATATATATATATATATATATATATATATATATATATATATATGTATACGTACATATATACCTATATATATACATATTTACATATGTATGTATGCGTAACAACAAGATAAAAAGTGCGACACATATGTATGCGGAAATTACATAGTATCCTTTGTATTTCTTATGCGGTTTGTATGATGCTAGATTTTTGTGTACATTTTGGCGCAAATGTTTGACGAATTCGTGCAAATTCTCTTCTTTTATTTAATTCTTTTAATCACATGATCAAATCCCCGCATCTCTATTCTCAGGTAAAGTGAAATTAGTCGTCGTGATAATTTTAAGCTCTATGTAAAACTTTATGGATACCCTGTTGACTAGGTGCGCCTGAAAGCACTGCAAACGTACTACGTTTTTTATTTAACAAACCGCGAAATTATCGAACGAATGACGGTCTGATATATTTTTGTGACAAAAAAGAGGGTGTTTTTTAAACAATATCCGCGATATTTTGATTTCTTTATGTCTTGCGTAATGAAAATCGCTTGAACCGCTTCTCTGTCACTGTTGCGCGATCAACATTCAACATTTTTCATTTAGATAACATGTACAGAGAAAGAATGCTTCATTGTACGCTACGGACAATTAGCGGTTTATTGTATTAATAATCTGGTAACATGTATAGCAACGAATAAATCGGCGAAAAGAAGAAGAGAAAAAACACACTTTTGAACTCGCCGCTAACAATGGGCTATGTAACTTAGATTCTGTTGTTGATTTAGTAGAGCTTGTTAAATTAACTTCTGCTACAGTTACAAAGCAGTTGGATATTTCCTGTTTCGCTGAATACCACTGTTTACAGATATGTATGTACAGTCTCGCGTGTAGTTTCGTACATCAGTCAGTTTATAAAAAGATATGATAAATGATTTTAACAGACTTGGAGCAAAGCAACACATTTTGCGAATCAAGGAGAAACGCAAATAAATATTTAATTTATATAAAAAGGAGGGAAGCTTAACAATATGGTACCGCTAAGTTTTCGTTTTAAATGTGAAAAAAATAAAATGCTGTGAAATAGTGATTTATTGACGAAGTACAGAAATATATAAATAATGATTTAATATGCAAATATAAATATTTAGTAAAAAAAATATTGTGTTTTTGAAAATTATCCATATCTCGACACACAAAATTTCTCGATCGTACTTTGATCGAGCATGTTTAAATAATTAGAGCTATATTTGCAAATTCTAAATAGAGAGTAGCGTAATTTTATAATGGAGATACGCCAAAAAACGCTAATATTACAAACTTAAATTCTATATCTGGTCTTTCTAAAAATCCGAACGGTTTGTCCCGATAAGACAAGCGCGTTACATCGCTCTAATTAATGTATCAAACATTATTTGCATGATTAATCGCGGGGCATCAGTGACTATATTATAATCGCAAGTCTCGATAGTTTACAATTGTATTCAATTTGCGTTGAAAGATAATAATAAATTTTTAGTTAGAAAAGAAACCTTTTACATCTATAAAACGATGTCGCACACATACAATGTCTTGAGAATAAGTCATATACTCAGTCGGGAGGAAATTGAATTAAACGACATCATAATTATAAAAGTAAAAACACGAGAATTTTAGTGTATTACATGTAATCCTTGAGAAATATTATCTGAATACGCCACGCGCGTTAATCGTTGTTAATATATTTACTATATTTACACACAATTATTGGTTTATCAGGAATCTAGAAAACAATTTCTGATAATTTCTCCGTTCTTTTCTTCCATTTAAAAGAAGTTGACCTAATAGCGTCAAAAAAAATTAGTTTCTCATCTGCAATAAAGTAATTGCTAACGAAGACTATTCTTAATATCATCAAATGTTTGCCAATTAAATTTTACGAATTGTATAATGCTCTCGTGATTTTTTGATCAGTTTAGATTTAGAAGCTGCAAAATGTAATTTTCATATAGCTACACGAGACATGATCTTACAACAATATAACACATTCTGTGTATTATGCTTATATCCTATTTGTTGTGCGTTATACTTTATATAATATATTAATTATAAGATTTCCTTTCTTATATTTAATATTGTATAAATTGCATTCTTCTTTTTTTTTTAATTTCTTCGAAATTTGACAAAAAAGAAATCAAATTTTATTCAATAAGATTTGTATTACAAAGTTGGCAAAGACGTGATTACGAGATATGTACATATTTCTCAGGTATCATTACCGAAATACGATAATAAAAATTACATTTACAGATGTGACTGGCAAACTGTACAAATAGTTCGAAGTGTACATATAAATATTATTCTAGTGGTATACATCAACGTGAGTCTTCGCAGTGGTGTTTTGGCAGAGGTGTACTTCATTAGCACCACACAAATCCAGTTTCATTTTGAGATGATGAATACGAATTTTGTTAACTTCCTTTTTTGTATTAGTCCGATTGGATCTATGATTACGTGACTCCTCTCAAAACTTCACTGATTCGTGAACAGACGAAAGTACCTCCGTCTCGCAATTTTAGCTACGTTCGAAAATTTCGCTAAGGACTAATAAATAGAAACGCGCTCGTCTTTCTGATCTTCTCTAAGACTTCAAAGATTGACGGCGAGTCAAATCAGTCGCTTTTTTATTATGAGACGAAATGCAGCGATCTGTATAGTTACACGCGATATTTTACAGATGACAAAATCTAACTAACGTTCGGAAAGAGATTCGTACAATTTGTACATGTTTGATCGACCTGGCGGTTAATCGAATCTCTCGTCTATCTTACATGACGGACGCGTTACCGTTCTCCACGTTACCCTCGTAGAAGGACTCGCATTTCTCGAGTAGACGGAGAACCGGACTAATGTTGTACGGGAATAACGCCTTGGATACCAATCGATCGATAGCCAACCGTAGTCTTATCAGTACCGTCATAGTATCGTCCAGCTCGCGACCGCAGCACTCGACGAACTCGCCCCAATTGCGTCTGATGTACTTAAGGAATCGCAACAGGTACAGCAGAAAGCAGGTCTCGTTGCTAACCAGTAGATCTAGCAACACATCCGGATCGTGTGATACGACGTGGATAAATTGCACAAAAGTTAGCGTGGGTCTGAGAGGACTGAGCACCGGTCTCGATACCGGACCGTTCTGCGGTGATCCGCGATAGAAAAGGCCCACGGCGACGTCCAGGCAACAGACCATACCCTCGATCAGAAAATCGTCTTGATCGTGAAACATCTGCACGACCCACTGAGACAGCGGCATCTCCGGATGGAAAGGCATCAGCGCCTTTACGCATTGGTCCAGCTGGCGCAGCACTTCGCGAATGCTCCTGTCAATTACCGCCATATCCTCGTCGAGATCTTCGGCTTCGGAGCCCAGAGACGAGTCACTGGAATCACTGCGCGTTTCCCGCACTGTTACGGCGGCGCTTTTCAATACCAGCAAAACCATCTTCTGCAACAGCGGACGATCACCGTCAGCGGTGCCGCCACCGAAGTTGCCTGAACCATGACGATACGGTAACGCGTCGAGCAACCGATGATCCTTGACGACGCGCACGATCAGGGTCGCCAAGGAACATGGTTCGTCCGGCAGTACATCTTGCAGCGCTAACGTGCTACCGTAGCACAGCACCTCATTGAACAGACCGAGCAGATGTCGCCAGATCACGCCCGGCAGATTGCTGTTGAGCAACCACACGAGATCGTTCAGCTTAGAATAGAAGGGCTTGGTATCAATGATGGATAGATTAGCCTTGACAGAGATGATGGTCTCCCACAGATGCAGGAACGTGATGACGACAGACGCGTGTTGCGGCGTATAAGTCCTGAGAATGATTTTGAACTTGGATACGAGGATGGTCCACTTGGATTCCAATGCCTTCACGCACATCGCCTTGATCGCCGTGCTGTCAAAGCTCTCAGTATCGGAGATGATGTGCGTGTTGCAGCCAGCTGGTGACACGGACGCATCTGCATCCTCCAGTGGATGTATACTGCAGTCCTTGTGCTCGACTACCCTCTTGACCACGTCCAGGGTGAAGAGCATTTGGCTAGGCGAGTGCGTGTTCACTAGAGATTGCATGAGCCTCTCCAACCAGGTAATCTCCACGTTATCCCTCGTGAGGATGAAAAACGATGCGAGCACGCGACTCCCGGCGAACGATACGAATTTGTTGGACGTATAAGACAGATCGATGATTTGATCGATAATGCCATGCTCGTTTCGCGCCAGCGCGTCGCAAACGTCCGTCACTCTCTTACACATCACACCTCGCATATTTTGCTTGATCGCCAAGTCGAACAGCAACTGCAGAGCGCTCAGAAATTCCAGGATCTGATCCGTATGCCACTCGGACAGAACGGCGGAACGGATACTGCCGTCGGCTTCCTCCACCGTGGTATTGATAAATGGTTTGCGCAAACTGCTCTCTGACATGTAGCACAAACATCGCGTAAGCAGGCTACTTTGCAGTTGTTCAATTTCAGCAAGCCTGTTCTTGGCATCTTCACAATTCTCAATACGCTGCTTCTTCTTAACCGGTTCCTCCATTATATCAACAGAAAGATAAGGATGATAATGTGCGGAAGCACCATTAACTCTTTCATCAAGTTAACTCTCTCATGTGAATGACGCCGCAGAGAGAGGAGTATCTGAGGAACGATAAACAAATCGCATTCTGCGTCAGCCCATTGCAGTTACCAGGTATGTAAGGCCATCGGAAATACCTGTTGTAAAAAATATATTGTGTATTATGTATGTAAATAAAACATGAATGCTTTTGTAAGTAAGATTATAGCGTAAAAAAGAAGAAAAATGAGAATTTATCATAATCTGCAACAATAGTATTGAAATAAACTTTTTTCTGTGTTTCTTTATATAACACTATTCTATTATATACATATACTACAGTACAAACTTAAAGAATTGTCTAAATGTTCTTATACAAGTATATAATTGATTTAATACAGCAAAGTATATAGTACACAATAACTTTCTGCGTAATACCAGAAGCTGGCCAACAGCCAGTGGATAAACTTACAGCATTTAATTCCCACCGAGGCTATCCACACTGGGGGATACAAACAAGAACGTTTCCTAGTTCCAATGCGACGTACAAGTAAATGATTTCCGCATTCGCGCGTTCACGTATGCATTCTTCGGCGAAGGCTATAATGCTATAGGCTCGAAAGCACGCTCTTGCCGATCAGGTCAGAATCGGAACGAAATTCGGAGCGAGTCAACTTCAACACAGGTCGGTGGGTATGAAAATCGCGGGATGACGAGCGGATGCAACGCTGATGAAGCGAGAGCGTTGTCGTTGCTAGACGTGATCCGAGGTGGGATCCGACGTCGTCGAGTGGGGCCTCGTCCCGTTCGGCGATGATCTTGGAGAGCGGACGACAACGGCGGGTGTAACGTTACTCAATCGGGGCCAGTCCGCTACCGAAAGCCGACGAAATTCCTCTCGACTACGAGAAATGACAGAGCAGCGCGCACACACTACGTTCGCACGGGCAGCACACACCAGCAGCCAAACACGCTGTTGCCACGTATACGACGTGCTACCGACGGCGACGAAAAATACGGGAGCTCGTGCGATCGGGGAACGGTGTGGGCGACCAACGGTCGACGTGCGCACCGTGACCGATGTCGGGCGGCGAGACGTCAAGTCCACGGCCGCGTCGCACGGTATTCCGGTCTGTTAGCGTGCATTCTCGGCCGGGCATCGTGCGGAGCCGCGTAACACGGTAGCTACCCGTCGCGCATTCCATAACGTACTGAGGGGGCGGTACGCGGATCTCCGCGCGAGCAAAGGCGCGCGGACGCGACCGCCAGTCGGCGAGATAATCCGTCGGCGTTTATAATACGCCGTTATCGCGGATAAAAGTCCGTCGGATTGAAATGTCGTGCGATAAATAAGCGCGCGATCATCGGCAACTCAGCATCCGATCGGGGCGACCCGTCGCGGGCGTTGCCAACATCGAGGCGGGTAATTCGATTTATTCAGCTTGTAACTTTTATTAAGTTTTCTTATTATTTAAATTTTCTATTCTTTCATAAATGTTTATTATGTATATATATGATGATTGTATATGTAAATTATTCGTGTATATAATATGAATAGAAAATAATATTACGGCTAAAAATACGAGCACATAAAAGTTATTCTTTTTTTAAGCTCTAGTTTAAAGTTGATATTCTTGAGGTCTTTATTTAAAGAAAATTTGTTTCATAAATACGTAACGTGTGCAAATGTGTATTTATATATTATATTTATTATTAAGAAAATCAACATTACATTATCAAAAAGCATTTGGGCATATACAATTTTCAAGGACACGCGCATGGACATTTACAACGCACGTGTATGCGGGCATTTCCGGGATAGAAGCGACGCTGGCGCTGCGACGTTTTTCTGCAACGCGCGACGTTTATCGGAACTAGTCTCTCAGTATACGGTCACAGGTTGCAGGTCAATTGTAGTCGGAAAATGGCGTCGTCGAAAAACCAACGGTGGATGGTAGACTCGGGCATTTTGCGTAAAAAGAATACCGACGAGGAACCGCAGGAGCTGTTGGTGTTTGGATATAGCTGCAAATTATTTCGCGATGATGACAAGGCGAAAATGATTGATCAGGGAAAACATTTGATACCATGGATGGGCGATAGCACATTGAAGATAGACAGGTCCGTTTCTCTAACCTAGACAAATTTCTCATCTAGGATATTTGTTTCTCCTCCTGCATATAAGATTATGCATCGTACATAATGTCACGTTTCTCCGATGAAAATGATTGACCTAAACAAAACAAAAAAAACCAAAAAAAAAACCAATTTGAGACAATAATCAACACCAAGTGCTACATTTAAAAGCAAAAAAAAAAAAAACAAAGGTCCCTCTTTCTCTCTCTCTCTCTCTTGCATCATTAATCTCTGGATAAGCAAACTGGAGACTGTTTAAGGCTTCCGCAGGTGTTATCTCGGCTGTGAAACGCGTAGTGTGGCAGCGCGATTTATGCGCTCTACACGGGCGCAGAATCAGGTGCTCTCGTGACGCGGCGTTTATGGCTGGCCGTCTATGCAACAGCAAGGTGAGACACAGCGTAGAGAGACAAATGGCAGCTGACGGTTGTAGGTATTATACAACCGCTCAGCATGGTATGTATTAGCACATTAGACTCGGCTTTGTCTCAGGAAGCGCATAGGTCATTCTTACGCTATGTACACATATATGTATATGTATCCAAATTTATTTATATCGATACTGTAATATTAGAATAATACTTGACATAATGCTGGATATTCATGTTTTATCATATTGATTTTTAACGAACAATGTAAATGTTAGAAAAAAAATCTGTTTCATATGTTTAAAGATCTCAGAAATTTAAAGATAAATATAAATAAATATATATATTAGAAACAATATGAGATACTTTTATGTATTATATATCATGAATATATTTATGTTAATATTTATTTTAAAAAACAAAACGCGACAACGGAGATAAAAATTGCGCAAGGTGTCCTCTACAACTCTGTTTTATTTCAGAGAAATTACTTTGGTGGGGTTTACTTCTTGATTTAAATTTGCAGATGCCGTGGCCAACTGTGTACATCAATCTAAAACAATATCATCTTCCTTCTCTAATGATTGTATTGTATGTGTATAGATACGATGGACGAGGGGCACTGGCTGACTTATGGATTCACGAACCACCGCCAGGTGGTTTTGATCAGCGGACGATACTTACCGAGGAAGAATTGAAAGTAGAGCAACTCTGTGACGAGGAGCGCTATCGATCCCTCTACAACAATGACGTGGAAGAATCCATGTATCATGGTAATATCTTTTTTTTCTAAAAACGTTTTGATTATATGTTAATTGTTATAATAGTTTTGTATATTTATATCATAAAAATATGTCTATTGCAGAAGAGGAAATAAAAAGATTACATCAAGCATTGGATTCTGAATCTTCATACAATCAAGTAGGATATAATTATAATGAAGATGTCTCTCTCTCTCTCTCTTGCATCATTAATCTCTGGATAAGCAAACTGGAGACTGTTTAAGGCTTCCGCAGGTGTTATCTCGGCTGTGAAACGCGTAGTGTGGCGCGATTTATGCGCTCTACACGGGCGCAGAATCAGGTGCTCTCGTGACGCGGCGTTTATGGCTGGCCGTCTATGCAACAGCAAGGTGAGACACAGCGTAGAGAGACAAATGGTAGCTGACGGTTGTAGGTATTATACAACCGCTCAGCATGGTATGTATTAGCACATTAGACTCGGCTTTGTCTCAGGAAGCGCATAGGTCATTCTTACGCTATGTACACATATATGTATATGTATCCAAATTTATTTATATCGATACTGTAATATTAGAATAATACTTGACATAATGCTGGATATTCATGTTTTATCATATTGATTTTTAACGAACAATGTAAATGTTAGAAAAAAAATCTGTTTCATATGTTTAAAGATCTCAGAAATTTAAAGATAAATATAAATAAATATATATTAGAAACAATATGAGATACTTTTATGTATTATATATCATGAATATATTTATGTTAATATTTATTTTAAAAAACAAAACGCGACAACGGAGATAAAAATTGCGCAAGGTGTCCTCTACAACTCTGTTTTATTTCAGAGAAATTACTTTGGTGGGGTTTACTTCTTGATTTAAATTTGCAGATGCCGTGGCCAACTGTGTACATCAATCTAAAACAATATCATCTTCCTTCTCTAATGATTGTATTGTATGTGTATAGATACGATGGACGAGGGGCACTGGCTGACTTATGGATTCACGAACCACCGCCAGGTGGTTTTGATCAGCGGACGATACTTACCGAGGAAGAATTGAAAGTAGAGCAACTCTGTGACGAGGAGCGCTATCGATCCCTCTACAACAATGACGTGGAAGAATCCATGTATCATGGTAATATCTTTTTTTTCTAAAAACGTTTTGATTATATGTTAATTGTTATAATAGTTTTGTATATTTATATCATAAAAATATGTCTATTGCAGAAGAGGAAATAAAAAGATTACATCAAGCATTGGATTCTGAATCTTCATACAATCAAGTAGGATATAATTATAATGAAGATGAAAACAATGAAAAGGCTTCCGGCGAGGACTCTCAGAGTCCAAAACAATCAGAGGGCTCGCAAGAGGAAGATCAGGCGTTTGTGCCTCCTCCCGAGCTGGAAATTCCTGAAGGAATGATTCTGGTAAGATACTATTTTACTTATCGATTATTTTTTTGTCAACATGATATGTTTAGATAAAGCTATTTTAATTTCATGTGTTTAGCCGGAAACACAGAAATTGAGTGCCATTATAACGAAAACGGCGCTGTTTATAAGTCAACACGGAAGCCAATTGGAAATCTTGATAAAAACGAAACAGGCAAATAATCCGCAGTTTGCGTTCCTATCGATAGACGAGCCGCTTCATCAATATTACAAGTTTCTTCTCGATGCAATCAAGAATGGAAAATATAATCCCGAAAAGCAACCTGAGAAAGAAGAAACCGGTACGCATTTTATTTTTTATAACAAGCGGTGTCTTATAGTAATTACATTGAAGTTGACATTATTGAGTTGAAGTAATTGAAGCGACATAAAGCAGGATTTGATTACCCACACCTACTTTGATTCTACTTAGTTTTTCTTGCCGTAAGTATTGCCATAAATTTTTGTTAATATTCTAATTGGTAATCGCTATATATATATACATATATATATATATATATATTAGATTTAAGAGTTTAATTAACACTTTTCCCGGAAATTAATTATTTACATTATTAAATACATATTTCAATCTAATGATATCAATGTATCTGATAAAAATGTCGATGATGTCACAATTAATTATGCTCAATTATTACTCATAATAAGCATTGTAATTCGCATATATCTCACGTAACCTATCATGATGCGATTTATCGATCGCATTTAAAATTCCGTGCCCGTGTTGCTTTCAGAGAAACCGGATATGCAAATATTCGCGCGATCTCGAGTTTACGCATCGCGCGGTGAACAGGTTGATCCTCCGCGCCAACCCTTTATGTCATTACATATATATATATATATATATATTAATGTATTTTAATGATTTCTGAAAGATGTACGCGTCTTATTGCTATCTTTCTTTTTCACTGATAGAATCTGAGGAAGAGTCAGACCAAGATGACGAATCATACCTGCATCCAAGTCTTGCGCCATCATTTACCAAGATTGAAGCGGTAAGTTTGTATACACGTGCGCAGGTTATTTGCACGCTGTACATTAATCTGTTCTTAAAAATGCAAAAGCAATCCCTCTCATGCGGAAGAATTTTGCGTTCAGAGTAGTTCGAAATGTGGAAGACCTTTGCTGGACCACACTGAATTGCTTTTAGAATGATGCTCTCGAAATTCATGGATCAGAATAGGATGAAATGTTAATAGTATTCTGCAACACTAATTTATGTGTCAAATATTTCTGCTTCCAGGGCTGATTCTGGTATGCATTGTGGACATATGTATTTTCATACATTTTCATTTATTCAGTTATAACACTATTTCTTAAAATGTTAATCCTTTCATTCCGTGCACATAAAACATATCAATGACGATATATAAAAAATACAGTAAATGCATATATGATTAGTATTTTGCAATTCTGTTGTTTTAACATAGGAATAGTGAAATGAATAAAATTTAATCAAATAAAATTAAGATTCTTTTTATGCATTATATAATAATGCAGTATGTAATATTAATAATTATAAATATTATATATTAAAAATAAGGTTCTCTATTTTACTATGATCTTTACTTACAATTTATGTACAAATTGAAATTATTGTATTAAAATATAAGCTAATGATATAAGTTGTAAGTAAAATAGGCAACTTATTTCTTGATTAACTTTCAGCTTTATATAGCTGAAAAATATTTATTAATAGCATATAATAATATAATATTGTAATTACCGTTTGTAATTTTGTATATTTAGAAATAGGCGTTTTTTAAAATAGGTTTTGCTATCTTCTACTCTCTATATATAAACTATTTCTAAAGCTAAAAATATATATTTATAAATGTATAATTTAGATATAAAATGTAAATTGAAAATGTGAATTATGTATTTACAGTTTTTATTTTGATAAGTATTATAGGAAAATAAAAGTCTAAGAGCTCTAAATACAGAGCTAATACAAAAAAAACTCTTCATTTTTATAGGCGCCTAGCATACCGAGCATACAATATAAACCATCAGCGGATTGCGCGTACTCCATGCTCGTGAATAAGATTACGGGAAAACCACCGCCGTCCAAGGTACCGCAGGTATTAGACCCGACAATGCAGCCGATGCCGTCCACTGGATACTATCATCCAATGCCACTACAGGTACATATAGTTTTGGCATCATCTTAATAGCATAATACATTGATAAAATTTAGCGGAAATTATTCATTAATTATTATTATTTTTATCGTTATTTTTTCATAATATTATTAAATTTTTTTTTCCAGAGTTATCCTCCTTATCCTACGCCCATGCAATACTCGCACGGTCCAGTTATATATGGGCCAAACGGACAGATGCAATCGCCTTCGCAACTCGTCAGCATGCCAACCATGTCAAACGACACGACTATGACGCAAACCATATCGCCTAAGGAAACACCATCGCCCTTGGTACCTTACGGGATACCTACGCAAAAGCCACTTAGCAGACCTTCCTTTATTGTACCACCGGCGGACGTCCAAATCATCATTGATAAGATGGCAAGTTATGTCGCGAAAAACGGTCGTGATTTTGAGACGATCGTTAAGAACAAGGGAGATCCAAGATTTAACTTCTTGGAATTGTCGCATCAGTATCATGGTTACTATGCGCACAAGCTGACAATATATGAGGGTGCGATAAATCCGAAGGTGTTGACAGAGGAGAAGCTGCTGCAGAAGCAAGAACCGCAGGAGGAAAAACAAAAAAAGCTAGAAGAACTGCAGAAGAAGCAGCAGCGAATGGAGGAAGTGCAGAAAAGGGTGAAAATGATACAGGCGAAGAAGAAGAATGGTAATGACACAAAGACGAAGCAGAGTACGGGATCCGCAAAACAGATCACTACCGTATCGTTCTCCATCAAAAAGCCGAAAGACGGGGAGAGCACGGTGATCGAGAAGAGAAACGCGTTACCGTTGGAGGAGAGCGACGAAGAGATGGACGATGACAAAAAGGACGCGAATTCTAAACCCGGTTCACCTCAGAATAGCATTTCCGACGCGAATTCTTCGATTCCCGTGATCGAAGACAAGGATCCGCCGAAATCGGACAAGAAACCGAAGAGCGACGACAAAGAATTGGTTGATCTGACCGATGATATCCTTGAGGATTGTCAGAAGGAGATCAGGCACAAACAGGCGCAAGAAGACAGACTCAAGGACAAGTTGATGGCGGTCGCACGAGATAAGATACTGTCTAAGGAACGGCAATTGCAACTTGAGAGAAAAAAGAAAGCCGCTATCTTTCTCAGTCATATCCAGGCACCGATATCCAAGACCGGTTCTACCACTATCACGGTGAATCAAAACTCCCGAAAAGATGACTCAGATGAGGTGCACTCTGTGCCATCGCCGCTTCTTGCTGAAGAAAATAAAGATAGATCCTCGCAAGATACAAAAACATGCGGAAATTCCTTGATGGATCGATTGAAGAGCGCAGACTTGAGCGGCAAGAGGTCGCGACAACGTTCCAGAAGTCGAAGCGGAAGTCGCACAGACAGGCACAAGTTGCATAAAAAACACAAGAAAAAGAAAAGTTCTCATCGAAGGTATTTCAAGTTGTTTGATTTCTCGATTTTAAAATATTTTTAAAAATGTTTTAATTTTATGGAAATGTGTGCACGTGTATGATTTCAGCAGTTACGATAGCTCCAGTTCCTCACGCTCACATCGATCTAAGAAAAACAAGAAATCATCCTTGCATAGATCGCGCTCGCGTAGTCCCTCGCATAGACACCGACACAATCCACGACGGAGAGGGAGTAATACGAGCTACTCGGACTCGAGCTCGCCTTGATGACATTTTTCTTCGTTTGATTCAAATAAATTTGTATCAAGCAATGTTGTATATACGTACACAAAATGAATATACATAATATATATTATAATTGCGTGTATATTGTGTGACGACAAATTTGATACAGTTTTTGTCACAAAGTAACACAAGAAAATTTACTTGCTCCTTGATTGCCATTCATCGTGTTTGTTACAGATTACATCTCTTACGCCATTTATACATATGTACATCTTTCCATCGGTTATATCTTTTGTGGTGTACCCTTCCAATGATAATATCATTTTTCGATATTATACGAACGATTTTAAGAGTTAATGCATTTATCTTAAATCAACTTTTTATCTATTTTCCATCTCCAAATTTCTCCAAATTTTTTATTTGCTTAATATGTACAGAGGTTGTTTATTTTATTTATTTTCCAAAATCAATGATTTTAACATTTAACGCTTTGCATGATTGATATCATGAGTAAACTAATCTATTAGAATAAGAAGAGAGATTGTGATAAAAAGATATAATAAAATAAAAATTATGTATATTCAAAATTACTGTTATGCATCTGATATGTGTGGAAAAGTATTAAAATATGAATTTTGCAGAAATTCCGATCGTACACATACAAATGTAAAAGTTTCCTGATTATAGTATAGAGCGATTATGCAATGTTAAAAGAGTTATCAAGTTGGATATTTTCACGCACTTTGTAAGTGTTATGTTTATCAGCAAACATGCAAATAACGTTTTACTTACGTGTGCATTTATTGTAATATTTATGTGCGATATCGTAGCAGTATCAAATCGCCAAAAACAAAATTTCTGAACATTGAAACGCGCGTACTATGCGTAACCCACAATATGTGGCAATTGAATCCATTTGCAGCGGAACAACGTCAATTATATTATATATTTGACATCATTTTTTTTTTTCACATGTTTTTGTCGTGTATTAAGTGTCAACCGATCATCATAGCAAATCGATCCGATTTAACACGGTTAAGTGAACAATCACTATTATTGCTGTAATAAATTGCAGATTTATGGATGGACGATTTAGAAGTCTATTTTTGGACATGCTATTATTCTCGGCATCTCTATTTGTATTTATGTATCTTCTTTTATAGCCATTCAAAAACAAATAGCTGCAATCGTTCCCTCAACATTATCAAGCTTTTGTTAACATTTTTTATTAGAATATTTTTTTTATTTTCTATTTTTTTGTTTTTAGGATAGATTGTTTCATCATTGTGTAAGATTTGCGATTTTTCGCAATTAATGAATGAGTGAACGAGAATACACAAGGCTTTCATTGATATAGATCACTGAACCAAAAAAAATTTCAAACGTAAATTTTTTTCAAAGCGCTCATAGAGAGAGATACGCGTCACAATTTCTTTATATAAAGAGTGTCATTCATAACAACGATATATGTGATAGCCTCCTATGTCAGTTCCAATCCGATTTCTGCATTATCACAATAATTATCATTATTTTGCTTTTAATGCGATGATGGTTTTCTTATTTAAAAAATTAACTTCGATTTTAATTTCATGCTATATTGGCCAAGAGCTGTACAAGAAATTTGTAAAAATTTTAAAAGATGTCTTTTTATTCTCTACGCATAATATATATATGCATATAATAAATATAAGCTGCATTTATACATAAAACTAATTTATTCTGTATGTCAGATAAAATTAATAACAATTTTGTAATAAGTCATTCATCTTATTTGCGTCTGCGATAAAATATATGTACAATAGCTCTAGGATTTGTGGCATAAAGAGAGATGGGGTAGGGAAAAGGGGAATAATGTGTGTATATACGATATAGCAGCAATGATTTGACATTTGTGCATATGACCACCAGTCAGACGATAAGGGGATCAAGGGTGAACTTATCAAAGTCTTCGACTTTATAAGTCACTTGTACGCAGGATAGAACAGGCGGCAGTTGCATTTTCATTAGTAACCGATCAACAGCTACAGGATGTCCGCTACGGTAACTGTAAGTACTCCACTTACACATTCGATGGTACTTTACGAAAAAAATTCAAGATTGCAATTATGTAATATCGCGATATAAAAAAAACTGCTTTCTTCTAGATATATTGTTTATTTTATAAATTAACTTTTTAGATTTTCTGAATAATTTCGGTGTGTATATAACGAATATATACTATTGTACAATTATCGTAATTATTATCTCATTTCTAAAGATTTTATGTTGTACTGAAAATTTTGAATTAATTTTGAATAAAAATTAGTTGGAATTATTGTTAAATATTTATAAGTCTTTGAACAGCTCTATGATTTGATGTTCTCTTAAAATACATTGATTGATAAAATTTCTTCTCTCTCTTTTGGACGTAATTTGTCTTTGTAAACATCGCATGAAATTCATATAACACTTACTGTATGTATTATGACTCTAATAATAAAAAAAGAAGAAGAAGCTCATAATATTATTATGCAATGCACAATATGATTTTTATTCAACATTGCTCGCGTCATTCGTTCGCGTCATAAATCGTTACGTCTATATTTGATTGCACGTAAAATTTTCATAAATACGTAGTATTCAAACGCACATATAGTATCTATATTCATTTTATTACGTATGTAGTAAATAGCTAAGTACTGACGCAGTATATAATCTAATCTAAACAGATCTTTTTTTTCAATTCTTTCATCGTATGTTAAGCCAGATTCTCGCTGAGATTAGAATTAGATACATATGAAAGAATTAGATACAGATACGTATGGAATGTCTTAGGTCAGACTTTAGAATTTTACATATTTCAAGATTAAAGAAAAGTGATCATAAAGATCCGAGAAGAGTCTCGCTTTCTGAATTATTCATTTTTAAATAGAATAGGAAGAGCACACATAATTTGTAGCATAAGCAAAACGAGAGGTAATTTCGCGCTTTATTCTACATATATTTATATATAATTATTGTATTAACATAGATTATAACACTTGATTTTGCGACACAATTTTTATGATTCTTGTTGCAAACGGAAACTATTAAATGATCATTATAAGATTTTGGGAAAGATAAAAATATTTGTTTTATGTCATTTGAGAATATTTGACAGCTATCAGTTTATCGAATTCTAGTCTAATCAGTGCTCATTATCTTGTTTATAAGAATAGGAAAAGTATATACTTTAAATGACGTATGTAAATAAGTTTTCGTTTGTAGTAGCTAATATAGTTAAATTACAGTCTATATTTTTTCATATGATACACTACTATTTTTCGATATTGCATAATGCTAAGAGAATTAAAATATAGATCTATTTTTTGCATATATAAAAATAAACTGAATACATAAAAAGCTAATTCTTAAAATGTAATTATAAAAAAGAAAAAATGTTGTTATAAGTCATAATAAAGTATCCTGGATTTTAACACTTAAATTTTGCCAAATAGCCAAACTATATATACACACATGTGTATAATGTATATATAAGTATCGCAGAATATAATTACAAATTAATTTATAAAATAAATTCTATGATTACATACATATATTTCACATTCACATATTTCGAGGATTTCTTCGTATTACGAATTGAATAAATAATACAAGTGTATATAAATTTTGTGTCAAATTCTTGAATAATTTCTTAGTGGGCTATAATTTATGTAGTATATAATTAAAGATGCAAATTGTTTGATGGATTATTAAGAGCGATTGATTTGCCGCAGCAACAAAACCGTGACCATGCCATGTTGCTGGATCCATCGGAACAATTGCGGCCCGAGCCGATATACGCTGGAAAATTGCAGAGAGAATTTCGCAATTACGAGGAAGATAATGAAGATTCTATCAAGGAACGCGTTCGCAAAACTTACAAGCTGATGCACTCCAATCAAACCGTTGAGTTCGTGAAATGTTAGTAAAAAAGAGATTATATATATCATTTTTATATTAGATTATAAATTGCATATTTTATTTCCCTTGAATGTTGATTAATGAATACTTGCCTCTAAATAGTTTGAACGATTGATTAATGCATTAATGTCTTGTAATTCTTTATTGCTCCGAATATAGTCATGAAAACGAAGACACAAGATAGAAAAATGGTAAAATTGCTGTTCCTTTTACAGCTCGCATGAAAGATTGGCTGCAATTTAATAAATTCAAGATGACGATAAAGGACGCTTTGCTCAAACTGAACGACCTCGTTGATGAAAGCGATCCAGACACTAATCTGCCTAATATCGTTCACGCGTTTCAAACTGCAGAGTCTATCAGGAAGACGCATCCAGATCTAGATTGGTTTCATCTCACCGGCTTAATTCACGATCTTGGAAAAGTAATGTAGAATATAAAATTAAAGAATGCACGTTCTATGACAAATATATAATTTGCCATAATAAAAAAGATGTCTTAAAAAGACATAAAAAAGTATTCTTTTAACGACAACTTTTAAATATGAAGTCGATCTTTCCTTAGCTGAAATTTCTGAATTATAAGCGATTGAAAAGATAGATTGTTTCAAGAACTAAATTCTTTCTCTTGAGATGCAAATAAATAACAAAATGATATTATTCAACTAATCTGAGGTGTGTGTTTTATTTTATTAATTTATAGAATTTTAAATTTTAATCTGAAAAATAATTACTGTATGAAAAGTTGCGATAAATGATGAACAATTCAGATCGATCGAAGAATCTATCATTAATAATTAATGTGCAAGAAATGAAACACACACTCTCTCTCTTTCTCTGTTTTATAAATTTAGCATAATATACGCGTATGCGTCAGGTTACCATTCTATCAACATACAATCGGATAGCAAGGTTGATCGTGCATTGCAGGTGATGGCGTTTTACGGAGAACCCCAATGGGCTGTAGTGGGTGACACGTTCCCTGTCGGTTGTGCCTGGGGTGATTCAATCGTGTACAGAGCAACGAGTTTCGACAATAATCCCGACGGCAAAGATTCTCGTTACAAGTATGTCTCAATAATGTATATGTCAATTCTGAACTTATTGTATAAGGTAAAATCACAAACGAATCATATCTAGTTAAAAATAGCGAAAAGTGAAAATAGTTAAATGGTTTGTGAAATGTTTCTCTTATTTACTTTTTATTTATTAAAATATTCTTTTTTATTACAAAGGGCGTATATGAGTAAGAAAAATACTTTTGTAATAGAGCGTTTCAGAGGAAAAATTTTGATATCAAAATAACTCCAGAATTCAGATTTTTAAGTATCAAAAGAAAATGCAGGAAATATGGGAAATTGGGATAATTTGAATATATAAAAATTTAATAGTTGCAAATATATCGCGCTATATTGATATTATTTTTTATTATGCAGTACGAAATACGGTATGTACAAACCCAAATGCGGAATATCTAATTTAATGATGTCGTGGGGCCATGACGAGTACTTGTATCGATTACTTGTACATAACAAGAGTAAATTACCGAAAAAGGCTTTGGCTATGATTCGTTATCATTCCTTTTATCCTTGGCACGCCGGCGGTGACTACATGTACTTCTGTACTCCGGAAGATATTCAGATGTTAGAATGGGTTGTGGAATTTAAGTAAGTATCAAATATCACAACTATTTTAATAAAATATAAAATATAAAAAACATAAAAAAAAGTTATTAATTAAAAAATGTCTACCTACATATACAATTATAGATTTGAATGCAGTGAAATATAAGAAACAAAAAAAGTTATAATTTTATACTAAAAATTACTTTACCTATATATTTGATTTAAATTATGAATAATTATTAGAAATCTGAAAAAAATATTGGAGTGACCAATTTAATATTATGCAAAATTTTGCAGCAAATTCGATCTTTATACTAAGAGCAATGCCGTACCCGACATTGAGAAACTGTGGCCCTATTATGAGAAATTGATCGATAAATACATTCCCGGAGTGATCGAGTGGTAAACAGTTATCTTCTTGTTCGATTTTTATATATTTAACATTTATATGATATTTTAAATGAGAATGTTATGCGCACATAATATGATTATTTTATTGTTGGACGCATAGGTATGTGCGTGTATACATGTATGTGATAAAAAGAGAAGAAAACTCTTTATCAATTTTATAATATATTTTAATAAGAAACTAATATATATATATTTAATTGTACTGGTATTAC